TAAAGGTGAATAATGCGATGAAATAAAAATGATCGATTGTACTGACAGTACCAATAATCATTAGATATTGAAAAAATTGATTATAATTTAGAAATATGAAATACACTTTTTTTCTTCTTTTTTTTTTTGATGACTACTCAATGGCACGTTGGAAATTTATTTTTGTCGCTTTCATAGTCTGTTGGTATGGCTACCATACTAACAAGGAGACATATAGTAGACATATCAACAACATGCTAATATGTTGAAAGACCTTTACATTACGCGGTGTAACCATACCAACAGGCTACAAAAGTGACAAAGATAAATTTCCAATGTGCCAGTGAGTATTCATCAAACTATATTATGCAAGATCATAATTAAAGATTGCCGCAACAACGAGTATTAGAACGCATGTGAAGTGAGAAATTCTATACGAACTGAGTTGTGCCCGACACAGTTAGAAAATGCTGTAAAACTTTCAAAGCATCAAGATTACAAGAAAATTCTCTGATTTTTCATGCTTCATTTTTCAAGTTGATAAATCAAAGCACAATCAGGCTCCCACTGTTGTATCATGTACACTAAGCAGTAATCCACAAAGCTTTTCCCAGGTATGAGAATAAATGTGCTCTCTTTGCTTGACAACGCTCTAAAAAGGTTTTCCTCACTAAAACTTCAAAATTTGAAAGTTTGAAAAAGATGGGACAGATTCTAAAGTGGGAAAAAAACTGGCTGCATTTGTCATTGAGCAAAAAGTTGCCTCGCCTAAAGGAACTAAAAGACTGATCAGAGCACAGGGTGAAAAATTAATACTCCTCAATCCAGGGCCTTTCTCCCGAAACTCAGAAACGAAACCCATGCTCTCAACAACCGACATGGTCAAGGTTCAAATCAACACTGATCTTTCCAACTACAAAATTAGAGGACTTGGATCACCTCTCAAAAAGTCATTTAGAGCAAGGTTGGTGGAATCAAACTTCAGGGATGAGTTTGCCAGTGTCAGAAAGAAGTTGAAGTCCTTCTTCACCGCATTAACTATTTATGGTGTTTCAAAAAATGACAACTCCACAACAATGGTCATAATGTAGCATTGTATCAGTCTGTCTGAGTTTATTGCCATGGTGTCAAAAGAAAGAGGAATTTTCAAATCAAGCAGCATCACAAAAGTTGCGATTAATGGTGGTGGAAACTTCTTGTTTAGCTTGAGCATCATTGTAGGAGATTCTACACACAGACTACATATCAAAAGATGACAATACTTACTGGTTCCGCATCTCTGGATTCTGCAGTCAAACAGCAATTAATCGTGGTTATAGCCAAAAACCTTCCAGAAAACTATGAGAACCTCAAACCAATCTTTTCTATTTTGGGGATTGTCAGCTCACCATTATTCATTCCGTGTGACATGAAAGTTGCTAACATCCTCTTTCCAGTTCACACCCATACTGCTGGTGTGACCTGGGCAGTTACCAATCACCTCAGATAATTGGCAGTCAAAAGAAAAACCAAGAAAAACTAACTAGGGTGTTAAAATTATATTTCAACATTCAAACCAATCATTTGGGAAAATTTGCTGGAAATGAATGTATAAAGTTTCTCAAAAAAGCAGATCTTTTGAGTGAGATTGTGGCCAAACATCAAGTTGCTCCTGTTATAAATTTTGTCAAAGTTTTCAAACAATTTCGAAGTTTTTGATTTCTGAAATAATCTGTCCATATATCTTGAGGTTCCTATCAATGCATTTCAAGAATACTACACGACTTTTCCGGTCACAGTGACTCCAAAAGTTCACGTTGTTTTCAGCTACATCAAAGTGTTCATAAAAATTTACAACGCTAGACTTGGTCATTTTAGTGAGCAATTATCTGAAACACTTCATTCAATCTTCAACTCACACTGGGCAAAATACAAAAGAGGTTTGGGCAACCCTAACTCTGGGAAGCCGTTATTTGACTACGTGCTAGTCTACAACAGCATGCATCTTAAGGTTAAAGGCTGAAAAAGATAAAGATCTTTGGTTCAAATTTCTTCTTATTTTCAAATTTTTAAAAATAAGCAGAAAAATAAAACAAAACAAGATACGCTTTACAAAAACAGTAATTCAAATTTTACGTAAAAAATATTATGAATTTTAATTTCAAATACAGAATATTTTTGAATTACTGTTTTTGTAAAGCATATCTTGTTTCAAGCAACTTAAAACCTATTTTGCTGTAAGAAAATTAGTCAAGAAAGAATTTTTCATGTGCTTTTAAAAACATTTATGATCAGAAGAAAAAATATAAAACGGCAAATTGGACCCTTAGTCGGCAAATCGAACCCTTTTAGACTAGTTAGTCGGCAAATGTCGACCCTTTTGATATAGGTTAGACAGTTGGCAAATGTCGTAATGGCAGTCGGCAAATTTTGGAAAACGAGGACCTTTTTTTTTTTTTTTTAGTCGGCAAAAGTTGTAATGGCAACCCCCCCCCCCCACGTGACACCTACTCGCGCCGGCCCTGATTACTAAAACTCTTTTTATTGACTAAAAATAAACCTATTACTTAAAAAACAATAAATAAAGCAATAGGCAACCCAAGTTTTTATTTTCCTTTTTTTATTTTTGTATTCTAACAACTTATCAAGCAAAAAATACAACTAACTGCAACTACAGTTACAAAAATTATCAAAGGCTGGAAAAATTAAGAAAAATTTCTTCAAAAACAGTAATAAGTAACCTCTCTTTGAAGCCATATAAATCCGCTAAATGAAAAGATAATTGCTCTATTCCTTTTTCTACTGATAGCCCTCTGAATACTCTTTGTCCTCATACAGTTTTAAAAGTTGTGATGATATTTGTTTTGTTTTGATAGAAATTAAAAGTGCTAAAAATGGCGTAAAAATTTTGCTTTCTAGTTGGTATGTATGAGCCTCAAAAAAAAAACAAAAAAACATTTTGAACAAAAATCCCAAAATAGTTCTAATTTAACAATATTTTAACTTTCTATTTTAAACTGAAGGCGATGAAACACATAAAATTTATGAAAAATCACTATTATATCATTGTATGGAAAATAGATATTTACCCATCATTTTATTCAACCGGCATACTTTTTGTTAAAAATGTTGCAGAGGCTATTTATCTTCAAACTCAATTTTCTCAGTCGGTGTAACCAGATGAACCAAACTCTCAGTCGGTGAAACCAGATGAACAGTGAGTGTCACTAGATTACTGGACACGTTGTCAGTTTTTTTAGTCCTTAATTTGAGGGTTAGGGCCAAAATTGAACAACTGTGCCCAGTTGAATACCTTGCAGCAAACAGCAGTTAACGCGACTTCAGTTAACATGTTCCAAAATTAGCTTAAGAATAAAAGATAGCACAAAATAAATTCTTCGTGTTTTTAATGTTACAGATGTGCACTAAATTCTTCGTATGTATTTTTAATGTTACAAATATGCACGAGTATCGAAAACTGTCAGCATAGTGGTGTATGGTGCAACATAGTGCAACACATCTTTGTTGATAAATTTTAAATAGAAAATAGCATTTTTTTTCCTTAAAAATTATCTAAGATAATTTTATTATTATTATTATATATATATATATATATATATATATATATATATATATATATATATATATATATATATATATATATATATATATATATATATATATAAAATAAAATATATATTTTATAAAGATATTTCGCTAATATCTTGTTTATGTTAACAACTATATTCATTAAACACTTGTTTTGTAATATTTTTTAAATTTTAATTAAATATGTATGAAAATATGACTCTTTAAACCCTATGACAATTTTAAATTTAAGTTTATTCTCAATCAAGAGAGAAAGAGATAATTTTTTGATAACTTGTTTAATATATATCAAGACAAATCTGTGTCATCGCCGACAATAGGCAACTTTTAAATTTCTGGCGCAACATGTTGCTGGTTATCATTAACAAGTTGAAAAAATCGAAAACGTTCGAATACTCCTGTTATTGCTTTTTAAAGTACGACTTCAAGCAAAATTAACATTAATTTTTCGATTTTTTGAAGAACCACTTAGGCTCTACAACAAAAATGTAGAAAAAAATAGATCTTAATCTATCTATCTATCTATATATATACATATGTATTTATGAAAACCACTGGTGGAAAAGTGCACATGCCACATTTTCCAATTATTTGAGTTATGTCCCCTTCTATATAAACATAAGCCTGAAGGCTAGCAAAATAGTAAAATCCAACCCAAAAATGGACTATGTAATGCTACAAAAACACCGAAAGAATAGGCATACATGGGAAACTTTTTGACTTTTAAAGACAAATTTTCATTTATTTTATAGGTGGAAATGTGACATGTACCTTTGTTCCCTTTTTTTTGCTGTAAAGTTTTTTAAAAGAAATAACATGTACTGTAATGTACAAAATGTACATGTGCAAAAGCCAATTGAAAATTTAAGGTGAGTTTCCACTCATCCGTTTTTCTACGGGAAAGGGAAAAATAATCACGTGAGCATGCGCAGTTTTCTTTCGGACAAATAAAAACTCTTATTACGCATGCTCACGTGATTATTTTTTTCTTTCCTATCCCGTTCCCGTTGAAATTTACATTATATTTATACATTTATTACCTTTACACATTTTTTTGTTGTCGTGATTTAATTGTTATTATTTTTTATTTTTATTTGTTATTATTATTTTTAATGTACTTTTATTATGCAATACTTTTTTGAATACTTTTTTTAATTTTTTAACTTATTTTTTAACAAACGCGGGTATGTCTTTATTTCGAGACCAGCGAATATATGTGCTTATTCTGAGACTGTAAAGGGTTTCTAAATGTCTTTTCTGTTACCATCCTAACAAATGAGGTGTAAATAAAGCTAGAGCAAGATTTGAAGCCATGAATCTAACTAATCTATTTCGAGTTTAAAAAAGTTCTGGTAATTTTTTTTTCTTTAGTAGTTTTATATTAATAATGTACTATAAAGAACATAATACTATTATTAAATAACTATATTCAATAATTTTATAATAATTTCTTTTTTCAAACTAACAATTTATGCTACTTTTTGTATTATCCAAGAGGTTCAGTTTGAACTCGCAACCATTCCAAAGTCTCGGTTTTGCCTTCATTTATGAGAATTCCACTTAGATTTTCATAGACTTGCTCGTGATAATTGTTTAGCCAAGATATCTAAATAATTCAGATTTATTGTAAAAAAAAAAATACTGTTCATAGTAAACCGTTTACAGAGTTTAGAGAAAATCACACATATACTATATATATATATATCATAGATAAATCTTTTACTTTGAACACGTTAATTTATAAATAGTAATTATTTGAGTGAAGATTTTAATAATAACTAAAATTGAAAACTTAAAATTAAAACAAAATTTTATTTTTCTGAAAATATTCAAATTATTATTGTTCGCTAACTGACTTCTTCAAAATTAACTTTTGACTTCAAAGAAACCATTTTCTTTTAAATGTTTATATATCTCCAAACCTAGTGCCTAACTTATTGCTAAGTATTAAAAACAACAAGAACAATTTTAAAATCATGGGTTATAGTTCTACTTCCAACAAACTATAACGAACAAATGGTTAACATACTGTAACCAACCAAAGGTTAACAGACTGTATCCAACCAATGTAATAAAAAAACATAATTCTAGAGGGACCAACTGAAATCCTGGTTTATATTTATACTTGTTGAGAGCAAAATCTTTACAACTTTTAAACTTTAAAAAACTTAGAATATAAAAAATGTCGAATTAATTTGTTCCAATAATGTTTCCAAAAAGATGAATGCTGAATCTTTCTATCTCTTTTAGCTTGCGCCTCTTTGATAGTAACTTTGCAACTCTTTGTTTTCTCCTATTAGGGAACAGCTCTAAAAATAAAAATTAATGGTTCTGAGCCCCACCATAGCCATTACATGACCGTGTATGTTACATTTTAGAGGCCTATGTATAGAAAATGATGGCTGCGCAACTATATAGAAAACGTAATATTATCTAGACTAAACAGATAGTATACAAGATATATTACAAGCAGAAAATATTACAAATGAAAAATGTTACAAGCAGAAAATATTACAAATGAAAAATATAATATTACAAGCAGAAAATATTACAAATGAAAAATATAATATTACAAGCAGAAATATATTACAAATGAAAAAGCATTCACAGAAAACTGGCATTTTGTACTTTCATACTAGCGATTTGTGTATTCATAAACATATATACCAATGTATATAAAATTTACAATTTTCATAACTAAAGTCTGACATGCTAAAATAATTTCTGAATGTTGAACTTCTAATAAGCTTACTAGAAATCTTTCGCCGTAGATTTGCATCTGTCGAGGCAAATCTACGCTCTAGGGTCACTTAGAAGTCGTTAAGTGAGCACATACAAATATCCTTCTGTCATTTCTTTCGGGAAAATAACTTTTAAAACATGAAATTGTTGTTTCATCAAAAATCGACTGTGCATAAGAAAGATTTTGATTTTTGTCACCAGAGTAAAGACTTTGATATGTAATTTTTGAAGCTTTTTTTTAAATAAGACAAAAATTTACCCAAGTAATATAACCAGCTGGACAATTATAGAAATCACCTTTTATATTATATGTAAATGAGGGAAAGACAAATTTTTTACAGTATAATAAACTATATTTTTAACACTGTTAACACTATCATAAAATATGTATATTTTAATCAAGATGATAAATAAAAAAATTTGACTGATTACCAAATTTGGAATGTAGCAAATTAAATGCATTTACATTCGATGATTGTCAGTAACAACTCTTTTATTTTTAAAATCTGATAGTGGAAGGGGTCGTCCATAAAGTACGTACGCTATTTTATTGCAACCCCCCCCCCCCCGCGCATTTTGCCGTACGCTTTTTTGAGTACTCTCTACCTCCCCAAAAGTACCTATGCTTTTAACCGACTAACCCAACATTTATGATATTTTTTTAAATTTAGTGTCTCCATACTTTTATAATTGACCTACTGCCCCCTTATCTCAGAAACGCCATTTTGCAGACCTCCTCTTCCTCTCCGAGCGTACGTACTTTATGGACCATCCCAAAGAGAACTAGTAGGTATTGGTATTTGATTCGAAAGCCAATTACCACTTAATAAGTGGTAACTGGCTTTCGAACTATAAGCATAAAAAGCTTCTATGACTTCAGTAGCCCTCTTGGCCTTGGGGAGGTGAATAACATTAAAAAAAAAGAAGACTTTTGATAAAATCTGACATGATGGCCTTTTCGGAAACTCTTTTTGTATGGTTGATCGAAGAAAGTTTTAAAAATTATTGAATCTTTCCTTTCTAACTGCAGAATTAAACTTTCTAACTGCAGTATTAAAGTTGTTCTTAATAACACTCTTTTTCATTTCCAGTAACTTCTAGGGTACTACAAAGATCCATTTTTTGTTTATTGTTGTTTCTAATTTATATTTATAGTCTGATAAGTTTACTTCTAAGAATTTATTTGTTGCTGATACAGCTATATACTATAATCATGAAAAAAAGTCACAACCATTTGATTTTTCAAAACAGATAGATGATTTCATGTTCAATATTAATTTTTTAACAATAAAAACTGTATCAATAATGTTGATCCATAAGATTTTTCATCATAAAATTTGATTTAATGAAATCATGACATATTTTGTTTGTTTACATTTGTTAAGAGATTGTTTGAGTTTTATCAAAATCTGAAAAAAAAAAAGCAAATCCTATAATAGTTAAATATAACTGGAACATAAAAATTACTTTTAGAAGTTCGTGAGTAATATGTTTATCAATGTATTTTAAAAAGATAATCATTGTGAACAACTTAGAAACAGTTTGCATATTTAAAAGGAAATTCTTCAATAGAAGAAGTATAATCGATGATTAAGGAGATAAAAAATAGAAGTATAATAGATGATTAGTAAGATTAAGTAATCATTGAAGAACTTTAGTGACTGAAATATATAATAATAACTTTACAGTTTAGAACCAAAAGAATATATATCCATTTTTTGTGTTGCCGAGTAATTTGAGTTTATAATTTATTTTGTTTTAATACTTTTCATATATTATATATTCTTATTCTTTTAAACTTTACCTGAATCAGTGGACACATCTCGTATTAAAGAATATTTTAAAACAAGACTTAAAAAATCAAAAATGTTAGTTCTTGAGTTAGGAGCTGTACAAATATTTTTGTACTTTTAAGAAAACAAATATATACATTTGCAAATTCCATTTTATATATCAGTTCTTAAAACTTGAAACGTTAATGAAAATGATAATAGTTGTAAAATTGGTATTACTTAAAAATAGAAAAAAAGTCAGTTATTTATTGCAAAATAAAACAAGCTTTTTCAAAATAGGTCTGAAAAGTCTAAAACATTTTAAATAAATACTTTAAGAAAATATATAAAATTTCCTTTTTATTCTTATTAATTAATATAAATTAAAACCTAGTTTTTACTCATTTTAATCATTCTAGCAAAAAGGTTTGGTAAGAGCTAGTAACTAAATAAAGTTTACAATAATGAAAGCACTCACCTCTTCTTTACTAAGCATGTTAGGAACTAAAAGCTTCTTCTGTATGGGAACCTGAATATAATTTTAAATATATACCTTATCACTAACTTTAAAAGTTAGACAATAGTTTTAACACACTTTTTTTTATCTTTAATTAGTCTTAGTTATACATTGTGCTGTATTATTATTTATTATATTATGTGTGTGTATATATATATATATATATATATATATATATATATATATATATATATATATATATATATATATATATATATATACATATATACATATTTATATAAACACATATACATATATATATATATATATATATATATATATATATATATATATATATATATATATATATATATATATATATATATATATATATATATATATATATATATATATATACATACACAAAGATTAAATGAAATTTTTAAAGATTAGAAAGATTAGAAAGATTATCTGATTGATCTTGTTAAATTTTTTTTTAATGAGCTTGACTGAGAGGCTCGGCTAGTGTAGAGCACTGGCATTTTTAGGTGTGATAACATAAGTAAAATATATGTTTTATAATATTTTTGCTAATTTGTATGCTAACTGAATTTAAAACTGTCAATGTATTTTTTACATCAATTTAAGTTTTGATTACATTTCCAATACAATCAATTGTATTACTAAAAATTTTAAACACTTTTCAAACTTTATCTTTTTTTTTTTAGTTTTATAATACTTCATTAACAAATTCTTGGTCTACATTTTCAACATATTTTTACTTTTATTTTCAATATATTTGCGGTGCGTCTTCATTAATATATTTACAGATGAACATTTAGTGTACATATAAGTTAAATAATACATTTATTTAAGTTATAGTCTGATAATTTATAATCATTTTATTAAATTGTTTATAAAAAATGAACTGAAAATGGTCTACAATTACTAAATGACTGACATTTAATTATACTATGTTGTTGTTTATAATTAAATGAGCAAATTTCATAATAAATAATAAATGTATGAAATTTGCTTATTTCCACTTATGCAACTCAAAACCTTTCCTAATGGTGTAAGGTGTATGGTGTAATGGTGTATGATGGTGTAGACTTTATAAATAACCTCTATACAACATGCACTAATATAATTATGTTTAATGAATAGAATATTTTTAGAGTTGTTATAATCTATCAATTGCTATAGTCTATCAGTTGTTACCCAGCAAGTATTCTATAGTGCAACATTACGACAATGTAACAGAAGTTGAAAAGTGAATGCAGTTGCAGGTCTAAGAAATGGCATTATTGGAAGATCAATTTCAGATATGGTATCAGTAATCAGTATTAGGACGGATTTGAGATATAGATGATATAGAGATAAAGACTAGAATCTGGAGTAAAAAAGTTGCGAGCACAATAAAGAAATTCGACTTTAGATGCTAAAGTTGAATTTCTTTATTGTGGATAACAAAGGATAGATGACTCATCAAGTAGATTACCATCCATAAATATAGGAAGATTTAGATTGTTTCAATAACAATTATATATATATATATATATATATATATATATATATATATATATATATATATATATATATATATATATATATATAAAGAGACTTTTATGATAAAAAAAGTCTCTTTCGACTACAATTTTTATTACCTCGTCTTTTAAGCTGTATCTGATTGTTATCGAAATGTCAAAGCAATTAAATTAATGCAGAAGTACATTAAATTATACTGTTTTTTAAAAAAATTGCAATAATATTGACTAGAAAGTTTTTTTTAATTAGTGGTGTTTTTGTTTTATTAAAAAACATTTTTAAAACATGCGTAAGTGTTGCTACATCGATTATCTTATAGCCTGTTGCTACAAGGTCGTGTTGCTACATCGACTACCTTATAGCCTGACTCGCAACGGAGTGCTGCTACATCGACTGACAAATAGCCTGACTCGCAAAGGAGTGCTCCTACATCAACTGAGGGTTTGGTTTGGGCAGGCAGTCTATCAATTAAAAAAAAAAAAATTTTTTCGAAGTTTTTATTACATTTTCTGGTCATGCTTATTAACGCGCTCTTTAAAACAACAGTTTATATATATATATACACACATATGTATACATATATATATACATATGTATACATATATATATACATATATATATATATATATATATATATATATATATATATATATATATATATATATATATATATATATATATATATATATATATATATATATATATATATAATGATTGATTGTCATCAAAATTAAGATCTTATTCTTGGTAACTTTTAACACCTGAAATGTCCTATTTGGCTGTAGAACCTAAGAAAGTTGTTAGAGCTAGGAAAACAGTAATGACTATAGCAAAGACATCTGAATAAATGAAGTTTCAATTACAACCTATCAAAGGTATACTTGTTGATGGCAGAAAAGATTTTACCAGAGTTTTAAAGCACAACCCTGTAACAAAACAATTTTATCAAAGGGTTGTGAAAGAAAAACACATTAGTGTTACATCTGAACCTGACGGTCACTATATTATACATTTTACACCAATGAAGGCAATATCTCCCAATAGACCTGCTAAACAAGCAGCTATTGGACTATTTAAGTGGATGGTTCTTCAGAGAGTACATAAATCTCTAGAAGTAATAGGAGGAGATTCAACAAACGCTGTAACTGGTTTAAGGAAAGATGGAGTTTTGTTGACAAATTTTGAACAATTGTCAGGTAGAAAGTGTTTCTGGTCTATTTGTATGCTACATTGCAATGAGCTTCCTTTGATGCAAATTATTGTCACTCTGGATGGATTCAGCAAGTCAAACATTGGTTTCACTGGAACAATTGGAAAAACTCTTTTAAAAGTAAACAGTATGGAAAGACTTAATACATTTGAACCTATTGCGCAGTTAAAACCATTAATCCAGATCGCTGAAAAAGTTCTAATTTCAATGTCAACAGATTCAGATCTCTGCTATAAACTGATTAAATGTTTAACTACAAGCAATTTGGATCCAAATTTTAAAATGGCTAAGTGTGGCAATCTTTCTGATAGCAGATGGCTTACTACTGGAAAAGCTATAATTTTTCTCTATATGAGTAGCCATGGCTTTACTGATGATGTGATAAGAAAATTTTACTTAATTTAAAAGTGGATAGTTTAAGTGTATTTTCACATGTGGTATAAAATCAAAGTGAAACACAGTATTGTTGAGGCTCTGGAACACATAGTAACACTGTTAAGACTGTTAAGAAAACAGGAGGATGAGATAAAAGAAATTGTTACTCTGTACATAAAAAAAAGAAATAATTTTGCTTATTCTGAATCTTTGATTCTTTTCCTTATAGCAAGCTCAGATAAGGAATTTGCCATTAAAACCATTAAAGAGATACAGAGTATGGAGACACTCTATTTAGGCCAAGGAAGAAGGTATTACTCAATCTGTTTAGACACAAATAACATAAAAATTGGACTAAAATTTATTTGTTTTTAAGATGTCAATTTTACGATCACATCTTAAAAATAAACAAGTTGCCTGGTATGTAAAGAATTTTTTTCTCTAATTTTTTTATTATTACTTAATATTATTTGAAATTTCTAAAAAATAAAGAAAATGTCTGATTACAGCCTCCGGGCTCCCATCTAGTCGGCCCTAGTTTAATCTTGGTTTTTTGATGCCAATCATTTCCCGAGTTTTTTTCATGTGTTATACACAAATAACATTAAAATCGGGCTGAAGTTCACTAAGATATAAATTTTTTAAATTCAGAAACATTACGCTCCAATATACGGATATTTAAAAATTTTACAATGACAATAAAAACAATTCCCCGGTAGGTAAAAATAAATTTTTTTAAATTATTTTTTTGAATTTTTTTTTATTATATATTGGCACTATAATATTAATGCTAGAAGTTTCTTTGCTCATTTTTGTTTTAAGTGACATAAAAATATTCCACATTTTTTTACGTTCATATGTATGACGAAAAGATTCTTTAAAAAAAAATTACTATGAAAGGACAAGAAACTCTAAAATCTTAACCCTTCCCCTTGCCCTAAATGTGAAAGCAATAAGTTGATGAAATATTTTTTGTACTACTTTCAACTAGACTTATATTCATTGAGAAATTTGAAATTTGATAGTAAAATGTTTTAGTATTCAAAATTTATGACCATATAAAGTTTAAACCTCCCTCAATTTAAGGGGGTTGCAAACTTTATATGTTCATAATTTTTGAACAATATATATAAATATATATATATATATATATATATATATATACACACACACACACACACACACACACACACACACACACACACACACACACACACACACACACACACACACACACACATACACACACACACACACACACACTTACACAAAACTTAAAATATAAAAAGCAATACCATTGTGACTGGTTGAAAGCCAAGAAATCCTTTGTTTTGAAAGTTGTACTAAAGAAAAAATCATTATGAGTGGTCACATACAATTATTAATAATTAGACTTCAATTATAAAAAAAAATATGTAAAAATATAAACTTTCAAAAATAGGGAAAAAAATGTAATAGCAATGAGTAACACTAAAAACAGAACCGAAAAAAAAATTTATTCAGATGTCATTTATTCAGATGTCTTTGCTATATTATATAATATGTATTATATACTTTTTAGCGAACCAAGACATTTTAATGAGCACAACAGTCATGATATTTATAAAATACTTGCTCATCAATTTTTTAAATAAAATATGGTATTCGATGCATTTTATTTAAATTAGACTGTTTTCTTTTAAATTGGTTATAATTTAACAAGCAATAGATTTATGGTTCACAAAAAAGTTCACATTATACCAACTACCAGAACTTTAAATAGATATATTTTTGCCACTTACTAAAATAAATAAAAGTATAAAGACTAAATTAGGAACAGGTTTAGAAATAGCTTTTTCTTGACCTGTACGATACGGGTCTTGGTAAGTCTAACCAAGTTAGGGGTTTTTAATGCCAAGGGTTTGCATTAAAAACCCCGCCCAAAAAAACCGCCCAATAAAACCCAAAAAAACCCGTCTAAAAAAACCCAATAAAACCCTGGAAAATCTGGGTTTTATTGGGTTTTTTTAAAGATATTTAATAAGTTTATGAACTATTATAACCAACTTTAACATTATAACTATAATATTATTTACTAAAATAATTATTAACTATTTTTATTAACTTAATTATTATTAACTATTATTATTAACTATTATAACCAACAATAACAGCTATCAGAGCAGGTTTACTATTATTTGAATCATTATTTGGAAATACATTATTACAATTTTTATTCAAATATTTTTATCGATTGAGATTTTTATTACATAATGTTGTTCACCTCCCAAGTTGAATTTAAATGAGTAGTGGTGACCAGAGAAGCCAACACAACAGTCGAGGAGGCTACCTTGTTGTGGTTACAACCCTCTCTCAACTCTTTTGCGGTAGTGGTGTTGTGGTAGAGCGCTCACTTCATAAGGGAGAGGTTCCGAGTTTGATCCCCACCACGTCCCTGGCAGTACCGCGCTCAACTCCTTCTCCCTGCAGCGGCCTTGTTCGTCAAGGTTCATGTTTCGGAGTTATAGAGTTGAGAGAGGGTTATAACCACAAATAAGTAGCCTCCTCGCCTGTAGTGACCATAAGCTTTGAGGAGGTGAATTGATTTAAAGAAGAAAAAAAACTCTTTAACTCCTAAACACGAATCTTTATAAACAAGGCCGCTGCGCAGAGGAACAAGTTTGTTCATTTGAATTTCAAGTTCAAAGTTTAATTGAAACTTCAGTTACTACCTCCCATTCTCAAGCCTTCTTTTTCACATTTTCTCATTGACATTTTTAATTATATAAAATAATACTTTTAAATTTAAAATAAATCAATACATATAGATTAAGCGTGAAATTTTTTTTTCCTATTACAGTTTTAAATTATATTTAAAAATCTTTTTCAAAATAATTTGAAAAATTCTTGTTATAAATAATTAAACAACAATATATTAAATATATTTTAAATAAAGTTAAAGTAGAAAAAAACTCATTTTCAATATCAATAAACAAAAACACAAAAATTTTTTTACAGAAACAAAATAAAAATTAAACCCAAAAAAACCCAAATTTACCCAATAAAACCCAATAAAACCCAAAAAAACCCACTGGGCTGGGTTTTTTTTAAAAAAACCCGGGTTTTTGCCAACCCTGAGTCTAACCCACACCCGACTATTGTTGGGTGTGGATTAGACTTACCAAGACCCGTATCGTATGGGTCAGACAGCTAGTATAATATAATAAAGTGAAATAATAATTATAAACATCACCCATTCTTGTTACTAATAATATATACATTTCTATCAGATTAAAAATAACTATATTGCATTTTACTGCATTGGAAATAATATTTATTAACTAAAAATAAAAAAAAATTCATTTTTTGATTATAATCATTTTCAAGATTTTTATTTTCTTCACAAAAAATTTTTCATTGTTTTCAAGTTTTTTTAAATTTTTATTTATTTAATAAATAATTATTAATTATAAAATAAATATTACATTTCATCTATCAATTGTATTTAAATGTTATTTTCATTATACGCTTTATTGTTATTACACAGCTATTGTAGTGAAAAAAAAAAAAAAAACTAACCTCAAGTTGAACATCCTTCACCAGTAAAACATTCTCTATTCTAATGCCAAATAAGTCATTTTCATAGTATCCTGGTTCATCAGTAATAAACATACCATTTTCTAATGGTGGGTCATCACTATTTCTAGGACTAATTCCAATTGGTCCTGTAGTATAACCAAAAAAAGAACCAACAATTAGGGAAATTAACAAATCAAAAATTAACCAGGGCCGACAATACGAGAGGGAGAAAGGGGGGGGGGGGGAGTGGGAAAAAGGGGGCACGCCACCACTTTTTTTCTAAAGGACTTTTTTTTTGAGATAATTTTAGATATACTTTTTTTAGATATACTTTTTTATTTTAGATATACTTTTTTATAAAAATTTAAGATTGTGCCGCCCACTTTAAAAGCCAAGTCGTCGGACCTGATAACTCGAAAAAAAAAGAAAAAAAATACAAAAGTAATATAGAAGATAAAATGTAAAAAATAATGTAAAAAAGTTGAAAAAAAATAAATTAAGAATTGTAAGATAATTTAACAAACAAGAAAATAATACGAGGATATTTATCCTTCATTTTTGAAAACAGCAATAAAAACTTGATGAGAAAAAAACAACTAAATATCAAGAACATGTAAATAAAGCGAGGTAAGTAGGACTCTAAATAAAACAAGGCAAGTTGCACACTTAAAATGAAGTGGATTGCACTCAAAGGAAATTGAGGTATTTTTTGATCAAGCTAACTATAAAATCAAAAAACTAATGAAACTAAAAAACTAAGGATTTTATATTCAAACAATTTTTTTGATAAAAAAAGGTTTTCTAAAAAAGGTTTTCTGGTCTTGCAATAAAATGTTTTTGATACAACATGTAACTGACACCATAAGTAGAGTCCACTAAACAAGTATAAATAACAAAAAAATTAACATAATCAAAAAAACCTTCATGAACATTTAGAAATGCTCCAACTCCGTGACCAGTCCCATGAGGGAAATCTAATCCACAATCCCAGAGTGATTTTCGAGCTATTACATCAAGTATATGGCCACGAGTTCCTTTTGGAAATGTCATCATGGCTAACTGAACATGTCCTTTGAATACACGGGTAAAACATTCCTTAAATGAAAACTATTGATGTAAATAGCTAGAAAAGAAGCCATTAGCACCAGCAATTAACAGTACTTTGAGAAATAAATTTTGCAAAGTAATCTTTTTAATAAATTAATAAGTTTTTGTAATTTTTTTTTTACATAATATAAAAATAAAAACCTTTTGATATTGAGTGGGCACTCCTAAATGCACAGTTCTTGTAACATCTGTTGTTCCATCTCTAGAAAAAGAACAAGCTTTTCTAATCTGTAATTTTACAAACTAATAAAATAAAAATATACAAAAAATGAATAAAAACTATTTAAAACAATAACTATTAAACATAATTATTATGAAAAAAATTTCACAATTAAAATATATGATTAGAAATATAAAAAATATAAAATAATAAATAAAAAAATTGAAAACAATAAATAGCATACAAATACTGTGCACCAGAATCACATAAGTACATTTCTTCAGCTGAAATAGGCCTTGTACTTTCTACTGATGGTCTAAATAAATTTTTTCACAATCAAAGCAAAGAATTTCTTTATAATAACAAACATAATATGGCTTTTATTATATTATTTTGGAACTAAAGCAAAGTAAGTTGAAACTAAGGTAAAGTAGATTGATTTGCAACTTATAAAAACTTTTCGAACAATCCTAAGATAAGAACCTGTAGTGAATAATTGCTCCATTTGGTCCACTTCCAGATATAGTATCAAATGAAAGACTTACAAAATGATCAAGTTCTCTAAAAGAATGATATTTAAAATTCAATTAAAAAAAAATTGATAAACTATATTTTATTATCCTTGTTATTTCTATCCATCAAAACGTTGTTTTAATAGTGATGAACGGTCTCATCACTTCAGATAGCTATTGACTAAATTTATTTTCATTCAGAACAGGTAATTATTGACTAATTACCTGTTCTGAATGAATCAAACACTTGAATTCTTTTTTTATTTTAATATCTTTTAGCAATTGCAGATAGTTTTACCTTCTTGCTGTTTTAACATCTTTTAGCAGTTACAGACAATTTGACCTTCTTGCTGTTTTAGCATCTTTTAGCAGTTACAGACAATTTGACCTTCTTGCTGTTTTAACATCTTTTAGCAGTTACAGACAATTTGACCTTCTTGCTGTTTTAACATCTTTTAGCAGTTACAGACAATTTGACCTTCTTGCTGTTTTAACATCTTCTTAACTTCTTAACATCTTCATTTAACATCATTTTCTTAATCTTTAAAAGCTCTAGAGATTACAACTTTGAACTTTGAAACTTTCTGTTTGAAACTACAGAAACTTACTGTTTCTGTATAAGATTCTGAATCAATATCTCTCTTTAAATTTATGACTTTCTGAAAACATTAAGGAATTTAATATTTTCATTCAATAGAGATATATCAAAGGCTCTTAATATACACAACATCTCTATTTATTTATTACCAGCAAAAAATTTCAAAATTATCAAATTGTTTTTAGTAAAACTAGTAAAAAAAGCTGTCAATTTTGGTATTACTTAAATGTATAACAATCTACTAAATTTGTTATACAATCTATCACATTTATTATGCAATCCATTACATCTATTATGAAATTCATTACATTTATTATGCAATCTATTGCAGCTTCTACATTTGTTTAATTCTAATTCTATTTATCATTCTTATTCTATTTATAAAAATTATTTCTATTGTTGTACTAATTTATTTTGCTATTCTAATTTTATATTAATTTAATATTTTGAGTTTATATGTTCATCTTTTCAAGTCATTTATAATAATATAACAATATATAAAAAAATATATAACTTTTTACAGAACAATGTTCATGTATCTATTAAATACTCAAAAACATACTTTCTGAATGATTCTAATTTGTTGGCACCAGTTATTTCATCAACAACACTGTGCTTGATCTAAATATGAATTTAAATCACTCAAATATTTTTAATAATTTGACTAAAGTAAAATAAAAAAAGAATGAACCTCTTTTTCTAACCAGCATAAGTATTCACAAACAGCAACTCCATCTCGTATCTAAATATTAAAAAACAAAAACATAAAAAATATATAAATGCAAAGCCCATTTTGACAATCTAAAATAAAGAAAACCAATAATATATATGATATTTTTATTATTCTAAGAAGCCAGTGTAAAAAGGTCCTGTCTGATGATAAGCTATGTTATTCTCATTTGACTAAATCTTGTATCTTACCTCAGATAATAGGTTTTAGAGACTTTAGGTTAGTCGTCAACAGTGTCATTAACTAAAGTAAGTATAACATTTAATCTCTAATTCATGGGTCTAATCTTTTTACTTCTCACCAAAATAAAGCAGAGTTTATTTGCAAAAAAATCTCACTCTAATTTGTCTCTTAAATCTAATGGCTACTCTTCCTGGCTACTCTTCCTGCTCTTGAATCTAATGGCCATACTCTTTCTGCTAGTTAAACAGATTAACCCATTGTTAAAATCACTCTGGCTTCCAATGCTAAAGTTAATTCTTAATTAAACACTTCCACAGTTTGTGTTCCAGACAATAATAATTTAATAATTTCAAAACCTTAATATAAAAAAACTAACAACACTTGTTGTTAGTTTTTTTTTACATAAACGTTTTGAGATTATTGAATTACTTTTAATAATTTTTATTTTAACTTATAATAATATTATTTTAATAATTTTATTTTATTAACTTATAAATGGTTTTTTATAAGTTTTGAGATTATTAAATAATTTTTTTTTAACTGCAGTATTAAAGTTATTCTTGAAGGTTTACACTCTTCTTCATTTCAAGTAACTTTAAGGGTACCACAAGGTTCTATCTTTGCTTTGTATTGTTTCTTATCTAAAATAATGCTCTTCATTAAAATATTACTATAAAAACTATGTGTATGATATCTTTAATTAACAAACACTTAATCTCTTATCTTGAATCTAATAACTTACTTTCTGATCATCAATATGGATTTCGATCTTTGCTAACAGTTTATCGTGCATTAGATAAATGTGGAGAGGTTAAAGCGATTGCTCTTGACATTTCTAAAGCTTTTGATAAAGTTTGGCATGCTAGTCTTATCCACAAGCTTTCTTTTTACAGTGTATCTGGAAACATCTTTAAGATTATTGAATCCTTCCTTTCCAATCGTAGTATAAAAGTTGTCACTCTTCTTATTCTGTAACCTCAACTTTTTGAACCTTGAGGTTCCTCAAGGTTCAATCCTTGGCCCTATACTCTTTTTAATTTACATTAACAATCTTCCAGATATTCTCACATCTAAGGTGGCATTGTCCGCTGATGATACTACCATTTATACTTGTTATGATAAGAAGTGAACACTCTCTGATTGCTTAGAGAGGGGATTTGAGCTTGAAAAGGATCTCACTTCTACTACAGCATGGGGCTCAAAGTAAACTTTAACTCAGATAAAACTCAACTTTTTTCAGCCAATCACTGTCGCAATAATTTAGACCTTTCTATATTTATGAATGGTAATGTACTTGATGAATCATCTACTTTTCATCTTCTAGAAATAACTCTTACTTCCAATCTTTTTTGGAAACCATATATCAACTCTGTTGCAAGATTAGCGTCTGCTAAAGTCGCTTCTTTTTATCGAGCTCGTCACTTTCTTACTCTGGATTCTATTCTCTATCTCTATAAATCTCAAATCCGGCCTTGTATGAAATACTGTTGCAATATCTGGGGCGATCTTCTAATGATCCCCTTTCTCTTTTAGACAAGGTGCAAAAACGCATTGTTAACATAGATGGACCTGCGCTTGCAACCAACCTTCAACCATTATCACATTGTCGTAATATTGCTTTTCTTTCTCTTTTCTACAAATATTATAATGGGCACTGCTCTAAAGAGCTAGCATTTCTTGTCCCATCTACTAAAATTCATTCTCGTGTTACTCGCCATTCAATTAAGTCTCATCCTTTTTCTGTAACTGTTCCTAAGTGCTCCAAAAACTCTTATTCCTCTAGTTTTTTTCCTCGAAAATCAGTTCTTTGGAATTCGCTTTCTTTATCTTGCTTTCCTGATTCATATAATTTGCAATCTTTTAAGTTGTCTATCAATCGTTATCTTGCTCTACAATCTTCTTCTTTTCTCTTCCTGTAACTTCCAACTCTAATTAGTAGTTGTTTGCAGCCTTGTTGGAAATGTTTAAGATGTTTAAAAAAAAAAAAAAAAATTTCTCTTAATTAAACGATTTATTTTCTTGGTTTTTATTAGTATTTTTACATTTGTATTTATTACGAAGTTGTAACAATTTTTAAATCTTATTGATAAAAAGTAACAAATAAATATTCATTAAAGTATTTTGTAAATCAGATCATATATCAACCTAATAATATAAACAGTCCCATCCAGTATTTAACTTATGTTCCTAACCTTTTTATTTTTGGTATGCTTTTTACATTTAAATAATAAATATGCCTTACAAACACTCGTTGCTCCAAAAAATAATGCAATTGTTTGTTGAAATATAAAAAAAAGTTATGTAAACAAATCTGAACTATTTTTTAGTTTTTTATAAGATAAAAACTTAAGTTTACATGAGCATCCTTCATCCCTTTTATCTCTGCAGGATTTTTCACAGCCTTTGCTGAACACACAGGTGAAATATCCGTGCACAGTTGACACTAAATAAAGAGAGAGGGTTAAACAAAAACAAATAGTCAATATTCACAATTTTTATAATATCTACAAAATAATTAATAAGTTTACATATCATTATATAACAAAAAAATTTTTTTTTCTTCTAAGCTTTTAAATAGATATTTTTTATTGAGTAACAAATAAGTAAAAAAACAAATAAATAGTTAATAGCTTGTATAATTTTATATATTTTATTACTAAGTATTTTAAGGTACAAATTTGAGAAAGAAAAAGATCACTGAACCTTTCATTTGTGCATTTTATACACAAATGTTTAACTGTTTTACATATGTTTTATACTTCATAAGTAGCTTTCTATGGATATATTTGATATCTATTTGATATCATATATTTGTTGAATTTTAAATTATATAATAAAATAGGTAGCTAACATTTTCCCCATGGATATATTTGATATGATATTATAACACCTTTCTTAAGGCTATATTTGAATTTTAAATTATACAATAAAAGCAAAATAAGTTGCATGACAAACAAATTAAATGTTAAACTGTATGTGGGGTAAAACTATCGTTATGGTTTGAATGTTTAATAACTTTTTAAATTTATTTTTATTTTTTTTTTTTATTTCAGAACTTTGTGAAGAAAACTTGGAGAATTTGAAATGCGACACTACACAACAGAACAGCAATCAAAAGTTGAATTTTATTTTAAAAATCGATGGTCAATTATTTTGACTCAGTTTGCTTATTGTCATTTTTTTAATGTGCAAATTGGACCTTCAGTACCAACAATAAACTGCTTGGTTGCAAATTTTCAACATTATGGTACATTAAGACACTTTCCATATACCAGAAAACCAAGTACGGTCCAAACAGAAGCAAATATGTAGATAGTTGTAGATAGTGTGTAGAACAGTCCAGAAGACAACATTTAGCACAACTAGGGCTAATCGCGGAGGTTTAAAAGCTTCAGTTACAGCTAATGGTGCTGAATATCGAACAATGCTGGACAACTTTTTGAGGCCAGTTGTAGAAAACCAAGCACATTTGCGGTTCCAACAAAATGGAGCCACAGCCCACACTGCAAGGGACACAATGGCTCTGTTACAAAACCTCTTTGACAAAAGCATTATTTTGCACAGAAGTGCTTTCTATTGGCCCCCATGTTCAGAGGATTTAACAGCACCAGACTATTTTCTTTGGGGTTATTTGAAAGATACGATATATGTAAATAAGCCAGCAACCATACCACAGCAACAAAACATTTGCAATAAAATTCAAGCCATAACACCAGAAATTTTACAAAAGGTTTTGCAAAATGTACTGGATAGAACACGAATGTGCAAAGCCAAAAAGGCCACCACTTACGGGATATAATTTTTTCACAATTAAACCAAAAATACTCCCCATTAATATACTGTATAACAAAATAATAATAATAATTTATCATTAAATAAAAAAAGTTATTACAGGCCTTATTTTAAATAAAAAAGTGCTTAATGCATTAGCTTAACGCTATATTTGACGTCATAAAATTATCTTTATTTTTTTTATAGACATTAAGTGTTTTAACTACCGCAATAATAAACAACCGCTAACTAGTTCAATTTAACAATTAACTCAAATAATTATAAATGTTTTAAATGTAAATTTATTATGAAAAGTTTGTAATGTTTTCAATTGGTATTTTATTATTAATTTTAGGAATTTAAAAAAAAAATTAAATATAAAAGTCTTAATTATGCAAACTCTTTTGTTAATTATTCTTAAAACAAAAAACTTCTACACAATACTTTAATTTCATCGTCATCACCAAGTTCTCGTCATCACCATCGTCATCACCAAGTTCTCTAAACCTATCATTTACTAATATTCGTGGTCTTCGAAGCAACTTTTCTTCTGTCGAGTCTTATCTCTTGCAAAGTTCACCAGACCTACTTGCTCTTTGTGAGACTAATTTGAGTTCGGCTGTCCCATCTTGTGATCTTAGTGTTGATGGTTATCTTCCTTTAATTCGTAAAGACTCCAATAATCGCATGCTTGGCCTGGGCATCTACATTCGTAAGAACTCACCCATTTGTCGTGAAACTAGGTTTGAATCAACAGACTATTCATTTATGTGCTTTCGTTTAGCACCACTTCACTCTATCGCCTTTCTCTTTGTTCTATATTGCTCTCCTTCATCCCAAGATTGCACTATTCTCGATGTTATTTCTGATCAAATTGACCAAGCCCTCTCTCTTTATCCATCGGCCAATATCGTTGTTGTTGGTGACTTTAATGCCCATCACACCGATTGGCTTGGCTCTAGTGTCAGTGACTCTGCTGGCGTTAAGGCCCTCAACTTTTGCCTTTCTCAATCTCTAACTCAAATAGTCAACTTTCCAACTCGTTTTCCAGACAACCCTAATCATTTACCTTCTCTACTCGACTTATGTCTTGTTTTGGATCCTAGTCAGTGCTCAATTTCTCCACATTCACCCTTAGGTGCTTCTGATCACGGTTTGATCTCTCTAAAACTATTATCAAATTCTTCTACTTCATCAGAATCCCCCTATCATCGTACCACATACAACTACCTTAAAGCTGACTGGGACTCTTTCCGTGATTTTCTTCGTGATGGCCCTTGGGTAGAAATCTTTCGTCTTCCTGCTGACAAATGTGCTTCTTACATAACTTCATGGATTCAGGCTGGCATGGAATCTTTTATTCCCTCTCAATGATTCCAGGTCAAGCCTCACTCTTCTCCTTGGTTTTCCTCACATTGCGCTGCAGCAATTTCTAATCGAAACCGTTACTTCCATATCTATTAACAAAACAATTCTCCAGAAAACAGATATCTGTTCACTATCGCCAGAAACCATTGTAAAAAGGTTTTGTCTGACGCCAAAGCTCGCTAATCTCACGTCATAAAATCTCGTATCTCATCACAAAAATTAGACTCTCGAGACTTCTGGAGAATCTTTAACAGTATCAATAATACGGGCAAATCTGTTATTCCTTCTCTCTTGTATGGTTCAGACTTTGTCACCTCACCTAAAGACAAAGCTGAATTGTTTGCTAAGAACTTTTCATCAATATCATCTCTTGATTCCACTAGTTGCGTTTTACCTGATATAGCCGTCAAACAGGTTGATCCCTTGCTTGACATTCGCATCACTTCAGCTTCTGTATCAAAAGTAATTTCCTGCTTAGACTCTTCAACAGCTTGTGGTCCTGACAACATTCCTGTTGTAGTCTTGCAGAAGTGTTCTCCGGAGCTTTCATCCATACTTTCAAAACTATTTAAAAAGTGCTTATCAGAGTCTTGTTTTCCATCATGCTGGAAAGCAGCATCTGTTATCCCTATTTTCAAAAATTCCGGAAAGCGATCTGATTCATCTAACTACCGTCCCATTAGTCTTCTCCCCGTCATAAGCAAGGTTTTTGAATCTTTAATCAACAAACACTTAATCTCTCATCTTGAATCAAATAACTTACTTTCTGATCATCAATATGGATTTCGATCTTCTCGTTCTACAGCTGATTTGCTAACAGTAATAACCGATAGGTTTTACCGTGCATTAGATAGAGGTGGAGAGGTTAAGGCTATCGCACTTGACATTTCTAAAGCTTTTGATAAAGTTTGGCATGCTGGTCTTCTTCATAAGCTTTTTTCTTATGGTGTATCTGGTAACATCTTTAAGATTATTGAGTCCTTTCTTTCCAATCGTAGTATAAAAGTTGTCCTCGATGGACAACACTCTTCTTCACATCCTGTAACTTCAGGGGTTCCTCAAGGTTCAATCCTTAGCCCCATACTCTTTTTAATTTACATTAACGATCTTCCAGATATTCTCACATCTAAGGTGGCATTATTCGCTGACGACACTACCATCTACTCTTGTCATGATAAGAAGCCTACACTCTCTGATTGCCTGGAGGGGGTATCTGAGCTTGAAAAGGATCTCACTTCTGCTACAGCATGGGGCTCACAGTGGCTGGTGAACTTTAATTCAGATAAAACTCAAAATTCATTCGGCCAATCGTTATCGTAATAATTTAGATCTTCCTATATTTATGAATGGTAATGTACTAGATGAGTCATCTACCATTCATCTTCTAGGATTAACTCTTACTTCTGATCTTTCTTTTAAACCGTATATCAAATCCATTGCAAAATTAGCGTCTGCTAAGGTTGCATCTCTTTATTAGCTTTATTAGCTCGACACTTTCTTACTCTAGATTCTATTCTCTATCTCTATAAATCTCAAATCCATCCCTGTATGGAATACTGTTGCCACATCTGGGGCGGATCTTCTAATGATGCCCTTTCTCTTTTAGACAAGGTGCAAAAACGCATTGTAAACATAGTTGGACCTGCTCTAGCAGCCAATCTCCAATCTTTGTCACATTGTCGTGATGTTGCTTCTCTTTCTCTTTTCTACAAATACTATAATGGGCACTGCTCTAAAGAGCTAGCGTCCCTTGTGCCATCTACTAAAATTCATTCTCGTGTTACTTGCCATTCAATTAAGTCTCATCCTTTTTCTGTGACTGTTCCTAAGTGCTTCAAAAACTCTTATTCTTCTAGTTTTTTTCCTCGAACATCAGTTCTTTGGAATACGCTTCCTTCATCTTGCTTTCCTGATTCATATAATTTGCAATCTTTTAAGTCATCAGTCAATCGTTATCTTGCTCTACAGATTTAGTCTTTTCTCTTCCAGTAACTTCCAACTCTTATAGTGGTTGCTTGCAGCCTTGTTAGAAGTGAAGATGTTAAAAAAAAAAAAAAAAAAAAAAAAAATTGCGCTAACTTAAAAAAATACTTAACTAAAATAATATAAGTATATTTAATAATTTGAATCGTATCTGTTTATAACAAACGTTCGTAAAAATTTGTTTATCAAAAATTAAGTTCCTTAACTTATAAACAAATTCAAAAGTATTTTTATTCTACGTATGATTACAAAACTCTTTTTTTTTTCGTTTGTAAGCAATTTAGTTTGGAATAATAAAATAAAAAAAGAATAAATATGAGTAATCTTTTTTAAGAACAAATTTAATATGTTTATTGAACTATATTTTTATTTTTATTTATATATCAACTTAAATAAAATATAGTAACATGTTAAAATATTTAACATGACTTGTGTTATTTATAAACCGTAGGGCAGCTGCCCTTATGGCACCATTGTTTTTGGATAATATCTTATTTTGATGAAGATCACATAACTTACATTTGATTTTAATAACAATAAGTCTTCTCTTTTTCTGTGATAGTTTCAATTAGAAAAGCATCAGCAAAGTCTCAGGATTAAAAAGTTTTAAAAGTAATTCTTTTGTCCTTCAAAATACAATCCATATTCGAACTTTAAACAATTTAGAGAGAATAGAAATATACAAGGTTTTTATATACTAGTTTATCTTGTTTTATAAAGAAAAATACATAGTCATTAGTAAAAAATAGAGACTGTTATTAAACTAAAACGTGCCTTAGTATTTAAGAGAATCTGTAATGTGCGCGTGCATAATGAAACCTCTGTTATATAAATATATTCAATGTAATATTTGTGTCATCAGTGGATGTTATAGTCTACTCGGGATTTCTTTACTTTATAATATAACTTGATTTATGAAAAAAACTTATTGAATCACATGCAGAAAAAATTTAACAAATTGTCTTCATTCAAAAATTGCAAGTAACAGGTAATTTTTTTTTTTTTCCTGTGCTGGCCCCCTCCCCCCGCATAACTTTAAGGTAAAGGTATCTATATACCTTTAACTAATAAGAAAAACAAAAAGTAATAATTAATGAAGTAATTTTTAGTAAAATAATAATAGATTGTTTATTCATTGGCCCCCTTTTTTTTCTAAATATCTCGAAAAAATGTCTTGATATTTTTGATATCATGATAACAAAAATATTAAGACATTTTTTGAGATATTAAAAAAAATGTCAATCCTTAATTACAAATTTTTTTGCAAATGTTTTTTAATATAAATTCAGTAAAAAACTCTAAAAAAATCTATATTACAAAAAACATTTATATTCATATATGGAATATAGATTTTTAAAAATTTTTTTATTGAAAACTTTAAAAAATTACTACTTTTTATTAAAAACATTGCAAAATATTTGTAGTTTTTTTTTTATTTTTTTATTTTAATTCACCTTCTCAAGGCCGAGAAGGCCACTACAGACGAGGAGGCTACTTATTTGTGGTTATAACCCTCTCTCAACTCTATAACTCCGAAACACGAACCTTGACAAGCAAGGCCGCTGCGCGGAGAAACGAGTTGAGCGCGGTACTACCAGGGACGTGGTGGGGATCGAACTCGGAACCACTCGTTTATGAAGCGAGCGCTCGACCACTACACCACTACCGCATATGAGTTAAGGATTGACGAACAATTTTTCATGTTGCTAAATATTTGGATAAAAAGCTTAGCATAAAATTAATTGCTATAAAAAGGTAAGATATATTGCAATGAAAAGTTACAACAATTATTTTTACGTAACTTCTTTTTTTAATAATTATCTTTACATATCGTTATTTAAAAGTTAATGTGGTTTTTTTTAAAATTAATTACTTCTTTTATGTTACCGCTAATTTAAAAGTTAAAAGATAATAAAAAGTAGGTTAACCAAAACAGCTCTATACGCACATAAAAATCGCTTAAGGCGTACGCAAATGGCTCTAGGCATAACACTTTAAAACAAGGCCTGTTATTACACATTCAAACCATATTGGTAGTTTTGTGCCACCTTGTATGACAAAAACTTATTTTAGAAAAAATGTCTTTAACAAACAAAAAATCTTTTAATGCAATTTTCATTGAATAAAATCTTTTGAGGTAATTCTTATTGCATAAAGAAAGTGTTTTTTAGAATTCTCTAAAAAGGTCAGTTTTAATTAGAAAAAGCATGAAACTCAGGGAATTTGTCAACAGATTTCTGGGCAACCAGAGCAAAAAATTACAAGCAACTGGTGTATAATCTAAAAAAGATTGTTCACCAGCTTGACTAACAACAAAAAATCAAAATGCAGCATTGTGTCTCAAACTTTAAAAAACGAATTTCAAGTCTCAAACTTTTATAAGCAAATTTTGAGTTTCAAACTTTAAAAATACAAATTTTGAGTCTCAAACTTAAAAAACATTACCTCTGGTACAAGACTAGCTAATGCATAACTGGATTTGGAGCTGATCTGCATTAACAATAAAACAAAAAAAAAAATTACAATTTAACAGCTCAACAGTATCTCTCATACATAATTTCAAACAAAAATATTTTTAATTACCCATATCCTTTGTCCATTTGAAGAAAGTTCCTTTAATTTCTCATGTATTGAATAATAAGAGCATATATTTATGTTCATAGAAGAATCACACAAATGCTTTTTAATCTTATCTGTCATTCTTGTTTCATCAACAAATAAACTAGACAAAAGAAAGTTATAAATTATAAATTATACTGAAATTTAAATAAAAATACATTTTTAGAAAATAAAAAATAAATACATCTTGAAAACAAATTTTTTATTTTAAGTTTTAAAATCTTGTTTAAAGTATTGAAATATGAATAAAAATGTACAAAATGGTAACAATATTGGCATATGTTACCATGGTAATAATTTATGTGTAGCTTAACCCAGCAGGACCCAACGATGACATTTGTCACCACCTTTTCAAATGGTTTAAAAATTGTTGGTAAAAGCAATATCTTTAAGATAAACATTTTCTTTATATGATTAAAATAGTCAAATACTATACAAAAGCAAAATACCAATTTATGACCTCTGAAAAAATGATGTTTAAAAAAACAACTTACTATATGTTATCTAAACTAACTATAGCATAAGACATAAATACTGGATTAAAGCTTATGTCAGAACCACGCATGTTAAATAACCCTAAATAAAAAATTAAAAAAAAATTAAAATTAATCAATAAATACATAGTAATACAATATAAAAATGAAAGTATTTTAAGCCATATTAATAACCAAAACAATTGATATAAATCATTTTATTAATCAAAACACTTAATAAATCATATTAATAACAAAAATACTTAAGAAAAAAAATTAAACTAAAATATAATACAATGTAAATACAAACTGCTCATGTAAGTTTATACCACATAACAGTATAATTTTGAGATTTAATAGCGCCAAAAAAAAAAAAAAAAAAAAAAAAAAAACGTTTTAAGGTTTTATTTTTTTTTTTTTACGTATATATTTTTATAAAACGTTTTAACGTTTTATAAAAATATAACTTTTTATAAAATGTTAATTCCTCAAATTGTCTCAAATGTTTTTGTCGACTGTTGTAGACATTAAATGATCTAAGAACTTTAGATAGATTCAGTTTATGACAAATTGGAAATCTGTATAAAATAAAACAATTCCATTATCATGGATATACAGAAATGGTGAAACCCTGCATATCATTTTTTGCAATCCACACAAGCTGCAGGGATAAGAAGATGAACTTTATTCAATGCCATAATAAAGAATAGCAAATTTTTATAATAAATATTAAAAAGTACTTCTCAATTAAAATTCCCAATATGTCATCCAACTGCTTGATGTTGAAATAATTCTCTTTAACAATTGCTAAGATGCATTTGCATAATAAATACTTTGTTTACCATTTTAAAATTTCAAAACATTGTTTTCAAACAAAAGTTTCTCTCTCTCTCTGGTTTCGTGCAAGATTACTCTTTCCCTTTCCAGTTCCTTAAAAATACTTCAGCAGTTTCTCTTTGAGAATCCGTTAATCATCGTAAATCCGGTAAACATCGTTTTCACCAGGCTTGTGGAGCTGACTGTTTTTTTGACGGCTCGGCTCCGGCTCCTAAGAAATACCTGGCTTCGACTCGGCTCAGCTCCGGCTCCTTAACTTTATGAACAAAAATTGCAAGCTTTAAAAATTTTTTTCTAATCACATTTGCCAACCCAAAACTGTACCAATTACAGCAATTAATTTTTAACCAACTCTCATGATTACAAGGTTATTGTATTACTACTACAAGATATTACATTTGAAAAGTAAATTTTTTTTTTGGGTAAATAAACACATATTATTTACCCAAAACTAAAGTTTTTGTTTCAAACTCTAGTTTTAATTCTACCCAGGGGGCACAGTACTTAAAAAAGACGTCTTTTGAATGTCCCAAAGATGTCCAAAACGTTCATAAGGCATCTCAAATGTTCTAAAGACGTTTAAAAGACGTCTTTCTTATGCTCCCACTGAGTCCCATGCCCACTGGAAACCAGTGGGCATGGGACCTAAAAAAGACATATTTTGAACGTTCAAAAGACGTCCAAAACGTTTAAAAGAAGTTGAAAACACTTCAAAGACAATTAAAAGACCTCTTTTGTATGTCCCATGTCCACTGGGTAAAGCATGCGATCATTAAATTAAAAACGATAAAAAATTCAAAAAATTCAAAATAGTTTAACTAATGCAAAAACTACAAAAAATATTTATTTTAATCTAAGGAACTTAAAGATTATAAAAGTGCTTTTTACTTTAATATTTTTATTATTTCAAATAAATAAGCAAACATTTACGCTTATTGAACGATACTAACTTCTCAATGGGACGGAATTGTGTGCATTCAAGCTTTTTGGTATGAACTTGATGTCACTCTTCTTAGAATAATGACAAGAAGCAAGATTAGGCCAGAACCAACAAGGGACATCTTGACTTCAATAAAATTCCAAAAGTCTAGCTTCCAAGTAAACTTTGATGTAAACATCCAAGTTTAAAATTGACGATGTGACAAAAGTTCAAGATTTCAACCAGCCGCTGCATATTGCTTGCCAAATTTTAATTTTTAAAAAACTCTGAAACTTTATATCCTTTGCCTCGCACTTTGTTGGATAAGCCGGGGTTTTGTGTCGAATACTAATTGCAGTTTTCTTATCCTTAAAGCTACTCCTTCACCCAGATCCTTTAGCTTGTTTGATATATAGAGAGCTCTTGTATTGTTTTATGACAATGCAAACAGTAGTTTTACTAGATTCAGATGCCTTAGCAATTGAAATTAACGATGTAGAAGGACTTTGTAAATAGTTGTGCAGAATTTTTTTTCGTTTTTCTAAATGTTTCAATGACATTTTAATTAAGAGAAACATTTTGAGTCGTTTGTTGATATTTTTAAATAATACCATAATTACTTTAAGTAATTACACAAAAAAAAAATAATTTAATGTGTTAGTGACAAGTTTTAAATGAAATTTATTGTTCCAAATTAGGCGATCGCATGCTTTAGTTTAATTTTAAAGATATCAATAACCTTTGATCAATGAATCACGCATTAAATATTTAACAGCATAATATCAGTATAAAAATATAATATAAAGCAATATGTGCATCACTGTAATGTTTCCATTTATAATTTACTTTTTTTTAATAAATAATATTAAGAAATTTTATTAAAGAATAGTATTTTGTTGAGCACAAAATTGTTAAAATATTCATTTTTATTACGTTTTGGCATAACCGTAACTGTTAGAAAAAAAATATTTTCAAAAAATAATTCATTCCACAAAATAGTTTAACAATAAATGAATAAAGTTTGTCTACAGTAAAAAAAAAAACATTCATTCTATTCCGTAAAAAAAAACACGAGAGCCGAGAGCCGCTTGATTTTTGCGGCTCCGGCTTCACCAAAAAACAGCGGCTCCCCGGCTCCGCTCCACAAGCCTGGTTTTCACTTTATCTTTTTATATTTTTTAAAACTTGAAAGCTTCAAATTCTTTTTCTGTGTTATTTTTTTAGTGCGAGCACTAAAACTTGCAAAAATGCAATTATTTATTTCACTTGTTTTGAGTATTTAAGTGCTCCCAAAACAAGAAAAGAGATTTTTTTTATTAACTTAATAAAAAATCAGCGAACTTGACACTTCTGCATTATAATCGATAAAAAAATTATTAATTTTTCAAAACTATATTCACCTCCCCAAGACTGAGATCACTGTATGACCTCAGTCTAGGAGGTGAATACATAAGTTATGGAAGCAATTTTTTATTCATTTTTTCTTTTTTAAATTGATTTTAAAGAAGAAAAAAATTTTTTTCTTTCGTTCAGCCCTTTAACTCTGAAGCACAAAACTTGAAAAACAAAACTTGAAAAAAAAAACTTGAAAAACAAAATTTGAAAACAAAATTTGAAAAACAAAACTTAGTAACGAAACTTAAAAAATAAACCTTGAAAAACAAAATTTGAAAACAAAACTTGAAAAACAAAACTTAGTAATGAAACTTGAAAAATAAACCTTGAAAAACAAAACTTGAGAAAAAAACTTGAAAAACAAGGATGGAGAAACAAGTAAAAATACATGGAGAAACAAGTAAAAATACAAGTTTTGAACTTCTTGATATCATCGTAAAACAATAGAAAACTAAATTTTTTTTATAGTCTTTTTAGTTGTCGCCAAGTATACAGAGAAAATACCCTTCACTTTATAAAAATGAAGGCTGCAAAAAGAAAAAAAAAAAGATAGAGTTCAGTACATCCAATAAAATGTGCTAAATGATGTATTTTTTAATTTAAAAATTTTTTTGGAATTTAAAACTATTAGGGAAGTAGAAATTGAATATGTTGTTATATTTTTCTGTATTCATTTTTATTTTATTTTTAAAACTAGATTGTTACTTGATTAATGATGGTGTAGTGGTACAAAGATGAAGAAAAAACTGTTTTCTTCTATGACATAAAAACAAAGTTTTTGTGTTATACAACAATTGTTTTTACAAGGGTGACAAACCATGGTAAAAGAAAAATGCAAACAGAAACTGGTTTTTAAAATCAAACATGCCAGCATAATAATGATCTTCTAGCTTCAAGGCTTGAATTAAGTGATTGCAATTTGTGATATCTGGAAATGCTTCTGATCTTTAAATATTTAACTCCCTAAAAACCATAAATTTTATCTTAACTTAACTCAATAATTGTATTAATTCAATAAAAATAATTATGTTGATTTTAAAACTATAATATAAAATCTCATTATAAACTTTTATTATTATTATTGTTATTATAATACTTTAATTCATTTGATCATTGATTTGATAACTACTGTGATTTTCATCACAGTAGTTATATTAATTTAATGTCATTTAATTTAACAATATGTTTTTAACATGGGTGTCATCACTTTCATTGGGTATGCATGCAAAATAATAAAAAATATAGGCGTAACATGCAGTGCCAGATCAATAGGGAGAGGGGGGGGGGAGGAGGGCTAGGGGGACTATAGTCCCATTTATAGTTTAAAAACATATAAAAACTAATTTAAACTACCTATAAGTATTTTAAAATAAAACAAAAAACTAAACAACTTATATCAAAATAACTTATTTTAAAATATATATAATTATTGTATATCTTATTATCAATTAATTTCTAACTTAAAGCATTTAATTTTTTAATTAAATTTAATTTACCTCAATTCAAATTTAAATTCCTTTTAAACAAAAATCGATTTTAATATTTCATACAATGCGCAAAAATTACAATGCAAATTTTTCAGACCTCCAGTAATTATCATTTTTTCCTATAACTTTTTTTATTTATAATGCTTAAATTACTTGATGTTTAAACAATTATTAATTTAAAATATACAAGTTTTGACTGTTATTATTTTTGCAGTAGTAAACTTTATTGTTTTTTTTTCAAACAGAGTTCACGGTTTTTAATAAACTGAGAATGCAAGGAACAGAAATATTTCAGATATCACAGTTTACGATTGATGTTTAAACAATTATTAATTTAAAATATACAAGTTTTGACTGTTATTGATTTGATATTGACTGTTATTGAGTTTTGACAATTACTTGATGTTTAAACAATTATTAATTTAAAATATACAAGTTTTGATTGTTATTATTTTTGCAGTAGTAAACTTTGTTTTTTTTTTCAAACAGAGTTCACGGTTTTTAATAAACTGAGAATGCGAGAAGTAGAAATATTTCAGATATCACAATTTGCGATCACTTAATTTGACCCTTAAGCCTGCAAAAGGTTGAGACATTTTATTTTAACAATAAACTTAACTATATTTGTACTATCAATAATAATAAAATGTAATTAATAGAAATTTTTTTATGTTATAGACTAATTGATTTTATGTTATAGAACAATTATTTTTATGCTATAGAGCAATTATTTTTATGTTATAGAACAATTGATTTAATGCTATAATATAATTCTTTTTATGTTATAGAACAATTGATTTTATGTTTGGAGAACAAGCAGAACAGTTGTTAAGTTTATAGAAAAGTTGTTGAGTTTATAGTTTATGTTGTCAAGACTATTTAAGGTATTATGAGCACTTTAAGCTAAAATTGGAATATTATCAAAAATTATAATGCTGGATACAAAATTTTCGCGAATAATCAATTTTTAAGGATCACTACTCATGATAAACTTTAGACACATCAAATATTTAGGCACACCAAATTTTTTCTTGAAAATTTGAAAACAGAGGTTTTTAAAAAGTGGCAAAAGTGCTCAATTTTCCCTGAATCTCTGTGCAAAAAAATATTGCAAATCTGTTTGAAGCTTTATCCTAAAATACAAATCTCTAACATAAAACAAAAACAATCTACATAAACTCTAACATAGAAAGGTAGAGGAGGTAGGAAAAATGTTTGATATTATTAACCAAATTTACATTTGACAGAAATATTTATAAATAGATTTTATACATGATTATTTTTTTGGATATTTAATGTTATGTCTACTATTATTTAATTATCAATTTTCTTGATACATGTTGGAACATCAGAAAACTCTTAATTTTGTACAATAAATTAGAAATCATTTGTTTTCAGAGAACATCAATCAATTGAAAGTCTTTATTGCTAGTAGTTAAAATGCTGAAAATCTGGTTTTTAAACCAAAAGTCTGGTTATTGTTTGGTTAAAAGTATACAATTGTTTAAGAGTAACTAAAGTATAAAAATGTATTTTAGAGTGTAAATGACAAAAAAAACAAAAATGAATTCTTTTTGGACCCTAAAAATATTTTCTATATGTTCTTTTCTTAAAGTAGATTTTAGTAAAATTCCGGAGAGGTATGTAAATAACATATACATAAATATGTTTGAAACATTTTTGGGTTTGAGCCTTTCTTCCACTATAGTGTATAAACTTCTTTATTCAAACACTTAAAAAATGAAAAAATTAAAATTTATAAAAAAAAAGTTGCGTGGGCAAAATAGAGGGACAAAAATAAAAATAATTTCATACATAAATATATTGAACCAATAAAAAATTTTCCTCACAGGCAACTTCATCAAGAGCTGATATAACAACTGCATACACAGACTTAGCTGATAACGTATTCCGAAGTTCCTCAACTTTTTTTTGCCATTTTTTACCTATAACAAAATTTATTAACAACAAAAAATCTCATTTTTACAGAAAAAAATGGTTATTATATCAATTTTAACTACTTTAATTATATTAAATAAAATTATAAATTATATTATCTTTATGAATTTTTATTAAGCAATTTATTTTTGTTTTTATTTTACAAAAAAAAAAAAAGGTATGTACAAAGTAAATGTATGCGTATACATTGCTTTAAAAAATGTTTTTAACAGAATTATATATATATATATATATATATATATATATATATATATATATATATATATATATATATATATATATATATATATATATATATATATATATATATATATATGTATATATATATATATATATATATATATGTTTGTCATATTTTAGAAGTTAAACCGTTTATTTTTTTGTTTAAACAACCATTGTTTAAACAAAATATAATAAATATATTTTTGATGTTATATTTATTATTAATATTAATAACTATCTTATATTATATAGTAAATCAGATCATATCAGAAAAATAAAAAAAATGCAAAACTTCATTATTAGTTACTAAAAATAACTTAAATGCCTGAAAAATTATCTTCAAGGGCTAGTATCTCTGATTTTGGTTCATTAGGTTTATCATATTCTGCCCAAACTAAGTCTACTAAGTTTTGATCCACTTGAACAAGACTCTTTCCTTTCAGTTCTTTTCTCAGTGTTCTCCAACCATCTAAAAAAATTAATTTAGGAGATTATCAAATAAGTTTTCAAAAGCAAAGAAAGTTAACTATTCTAAATTCTTAAAAAAAAGAACCATGTTGATAAAAGCATATCATGTGCTAAAGCAGGTTACTTGGAAGGTTACTTTTTACGTTATCTAACATAAAGATCTAAATCTATTTATCCTCTACCCCCTTATTTTTCCCAAAAAATATAGATGTTATACAAACTCTGGAGAACTTCGTATGTTCAGTTTTTAGATTGTTTTATTGAAATTAAACTAGTTATATTTTAGCTTCACGAATTTTAGCTTAACGAATTCTTTGTTAGCATACTATTTATTCTTTTAACAACATATTACTTTCAATTTGAATTCTAACATGAACTGCTATTGATTATATAATTGATTATACTAAAAGTTCTATGTAAACTTAGAATTTTAATCCAAAAATTTTATTTAATTGTATTTTTATTTATGTTTGGGAGTTTACACTATTAGTTAAATAATATATTCTGGAGATAATGGCTATCTGCCATTATCTCCAGAATAATATATTCTAGAGATAATGGCTATCTTTATTGCCAATACTTGTTCATCAAATATAGCAAGGTAACTTTATTTGTCTGCTTTTTTTGTTGTTGTTGTTGTTTATTATTTTACTAGTTTTTAGTTCTTACATACATAGCACTCCTCCCATGTTTTAGTTCTCACGAATGTAGCAGCACTCCTTGCATGTTTTACCTATTTGTTGTTTGTGGTAAAAACGGTTCATAACACCTCATTGTGTTAAAAAAAGACCAAATCAAGTACCCTTTATGTAAAGACCATTAAATTCTTTATTTTAAATTAAAGAAACTAAATTTTATCGTTTTTTAAAAAACCACAAAATTGCAAACAGACTTAAAAAACATTTACAATGTTTTTAAAACATTTTACATTTTTAATACATTTCAAAGGATGCAATTGTATTACATTACATGAAGAACAAGAAAAATACAATAACTTTTTTTACCCAAAATGGATTTTGGTCAAACTTAGATATGTTAAAGTTAATAAAAATATGCTTTGGATGGTACCAAACTCAATTTTTTATCCAAACTTTGTCCAGGTCCTAATCTGAATTTTGTCCAGATCCTAGTTTAACTAGACTACTATTTCTCTCTACTTGACGACTATTTATTCTGTTGCTTGTCTACTAGACTACTATTTATTCTGTTGCTTGTCTACTAGACTACTATTTATTCTGTTGCTTGTCTACTAGACTACTATTTATTCTGTTGCTTGTCTACTAGACTACTATTTATTCTGTTGCTTGTCTACAAGACTACTATTTATTCTGTTGCTTGTCTACTAGACTACTATTTATTCTGTTGCTTGTCTACTAGACTACTATTTATTCTGTTGCTTGTCTACTAGACTACTATTTATTCTGTTGCTTGTCTACAAGACTACTATTTATTCTGTTGCTTGTCTACTAGACTACTATTTATTCTGTTGCTTGTCTACTAGACTACTATTTATTCTGTTGCTTGTCTGCTAGACTACTATTTATTCTGTTGCTTGTCTACTAGACTACTATTTATTCTGTTGCTTGTCTACAAGACTACTATTTATTCTGTTGCTTGTCTACTAGACTACTATTTATTCTGTTGCTTGTCTACTAGACTACTATTTATTCTGTTGCTTGTCTACTAGACTACTATTTATTCTGTTGCTTGTCTACTAGACTACTATTTATTCTGTTGCTTGTCTACTAGACTACTATTTATTCTGTTGCTTGTCTACTAGACTACTATTTATTATGTTGCTTGTCTATGATCAAAAATATGAACAAGAATTTTTTTTTATATCAATATAAGAATAATGGATTTTTTTAAATTTTTTAAATTATTTAAAAGTTATTGATAAATTATTATTAACTGTGACTAATTATTATTTTTAGTTTTAGCAAGATAATGAATATCATCATTTGCAACTTTATATGTAAAAGGTACTGTAAATGCATAGGCAAGTTTAATCAAATCAACTTTAATTGCAAACTGTTGTAGTATCTCTTTATTGCTATAAAATTTTTTTTATATGTCTCAGCTTGCTCTTGTTATAAATTTAAGAGAAAAAATTAATAATAGAGTTATATCCATAAAAGAAGTTTTTTTACAACAATATCAATGTCTACCATCCTTAAAACATAGGTCTACCACAGGTCGCATTGAAAAAAAATATATTACTCTTAAACAGAAGAAGTTTTAATGTAAAAAAACACCAAACCAAGGTAAAGGTACCTTTGGTTCTCTCAAGTTTAATTTAAAACTTTCTTTAATAAATCCACTTAGTCTTCAAAAATAAAAAAAAGAGTCTAATAGAAATCAGTGAAAATCTGTTTTTTTTGGCGCATTTGTAAAAAAATTGTCACATCTTTGGCACCATTGTTTTATACTACAATCATAAACTACTTTACAGATAAGACAGGTGTCATTTGACAATGTGAATACTCGTGTAAGTGTTTCTAGGGCACAGGCTCATTGATTGTTTATAATCAACTTGTGCATTGTGCTGACAAGTCAACTTTTATAACTTGGTATAAGTTGTAATCTAAATTTAAACATGATAATTAAATCAAAGTCAAATAAATGGGGAGGGGTGGAATAGTAAAAGGATTGGAAAAAATGTTACAAAATTTATAGTCATGATATTAAATATTAAGGAAATTAGACTAAAAGTTCTTCTTATCCTAACTAGGGCTATTTAAAAACTAAGTTTAATTCAGGCTTAATTTAAGACTTATTTCTAGTACTGATTAAGAAATACTTTTACATATATACATACTTTGTATTACAATATATAACACAAACTAAAGAACATCAACAGTTCTATTTTTATTGTTTTTAATGAATTTTGAGCAACTTTCATAGTTTCATAATTTTGTAACTTTCCCATAAGTAACCATTTTTTTTCTTCTGAAATCACAATAATAAAATCAGATAATATAACTATGTCAGTAGAAAAAAAATTCTTATTAAAATCAGTGTTTATCCTAGGTTAACACTGGTTTGAAAATAAGGCACAACTTCTAAATATTTAGCCAGTCATTTTTAGGAGTCCATAATTTTTTACTGACTTGCAAACAATTTCTTAGTTTTTTAGGTAGCCATTATGGAAAAAAATGTGACATTCAAAAATTAAATGTCAAAGTTTTAATAAATTTTTGTTTTTAAAACATAGAGCTTCAAAGTATGAACAAAACATGTTTTTGCTACTAAAGTTTTTATTTTGGGAAAAATCAGAAATTTCAAATGACCATATCATTTGATATGTATATGTATATGTATATGAATATATATACCGAGGGTTTGGTTTGGGCAGGCAGTCTATCATTTAAAAAAAAAAAAATTTCAATTTTTAAAACTTTTCTGGTCTGGTTTACTAACGCGCTCTTTAAAACTACAGTTTATGGGAAACTCTTTTTGACTACCATGCAAGAGTATATATATATATATATATATATATATATATATATATATATATATATATATATATATATATATATATATATATATATATATATATATATATATATATATATATATCCTTATAGTGTAGTCGAAAGAGTCTTTTAATGTAAAAAAAGTCTCTTTCGACTACAATTTTAATTACCTCGTCTCTTAAGCTGTATTTGATTGTCGTCGAAATGTCAAAGCAATTAAATTAATGCGGAAGTACATTAAATTTTATTGTTTTTTAAAAATTTTTTAAAAAACTGCAATAATAATGACTAGAAAGTTTTTTTTAATTAGTGGTATTTTTGTTTTTGTTTTAATAAAAAATATTTTTAAAACATGCGTAAATGTTGCTACATCGACTATCTTATAGCCTGCTGCTACAAGGGAGTGTTTCTACATCGACTGTATTATAGTCTGACTCGCAACAGAGTGCTGCTACATCGACTGAAAAATAGCCTTACTCGCAAGGGAGTGCTGCTACATCGACTGACAAATAGCCTGACTCACAAGGGAGTGCTGCTACATCGACTGAGGGTTTGGTTTGGGCAGGCAGTCAATCATTTTAAAAAAAAAAAAAATTTAAATTTTTTAAAATTTTTCTGGTCTGGTTTACTAACGCGCTCTTTAAAACTACAGTTTATAAGAAACTCTTTTTGACTACCATGCAAGAGTATATATATATATATATATATATATATATATATATATATATATATATATATATATATATATATATATATATATATATATATATATATATATATATATATATATATATAAATATATATATATATATATATATATATATATATATATATATATATATATATATATATATATATATATATATATATATATATATATATATCAGGCTTGGTCGGGAAGCGGGAGCGATCGCTCTCGATTGCTGACCACATAAATAATATTTAGTTGCGAAAAGCTGGCCAGATTTTTTAGTCGTTTTGAGAACATTTTAACAAGCAAAAAAAAAAATTGCTAAAGATTAATTGGACCGAAGAGAGACAATTACTAAAAAAAAATTAGGCAAATAAAATATCTTTAAACGCGAAAAAAGCTAAATAAATTACGTTTAGAACAAATATTTTTGAAACATCGCTTTTATAATTTTTTTTATAAAATTAAGCGATGTTTTTTATGTAAAGTAACATCTTACGATTGATTAAAAAGGAAACATATTCTTTATTAAACAAAGTTTGCAAGTTTTAGTTTTATTTAAGCTAATTTATTTTATAAATGAAAAAGTTAATTTTTGCAATACCTATTTTATGTTTCGCGTAGTTTGAAAAGTTTAACATATTTGAAGCAATTCTTCTTAGTAAGATTAACAAATGAAATAATTAAATCATTGAATTACTATAGAAATTAAATTAACAAGATAGAAATCAACTAAAAAGGTTAAAAATATGATGAGGAAGCGAAACTGCTATCACAATATGATGATGTTTAGTGAGTGGGCTTATTAATTAGTAATTAAAGCAGAAAAAAGTGTAACGAGTTTTTAAGAATGGCAACTGAAGCGAAAATAATTAGAATTAGTAAACCAATATCTAGAAACTTTTCTTTATATCTAATTATTTGCTATATATATTTGTGTTCTGTCGTGACCTCAGGCGCGGTGCTTGTTCATCCGCGAGTTACTTTGTATGCGTTGTTTGTGTTTAGTAGCCAGAAACTTCTTATATGTTTGTTACATGATTGGTTTTATTAACTTTAACGATTATAATTTTATTGAAAACGCAATTATTTTTGTAAGTCTTTGTTTAAATCATAAAAATTGCTTTAAAAGAAACATTACAATAAAAAACAGATCAACAAAATTACATTTACATAAAGAATACATACTTTTTAAATAAAAAATAAGAACATACTAATAAAATCTATAATTTATAATAAACTTTTAAAATTTTGACAATTTAATTAATATATATTTAAAACATTTATTTTTGTGAACAATTAATATATATTCTTAAAACGATTTATGCTAGAAATCTGAAAACGTAATAAATCGTGAATAATATAATTTCTAAAACATTTCAACAGAATGCTCTAAAACTTTATTTCGCTTAGTCAGCGTATTTTTTGAACCAATAGAATTAGTTTGTTCGTTAATTTGGCGGGTTTTTAGTGTTCGCGAATATTCTTTTTGTTCTTTCGCACTACGATGTTTTGAGAACATTCAAGTTTTTTATGTTTCCATGTATGTCCGTAAAACAAAATTTTTTTGTTTCTAAATAAACTTAAATGTTCTCAAAACGACTGAAAAACCTGGCCAGTTTTTTGCAACTAAATATAATTTCCGTGGTCAGTATTCGAGAGCGATCGCTCCCACTTCCCGACCAAGGCTGATATATATGTATATGTGTATATATATATCTATATCTCTATATATATATATATATATATATATTTATATATATATATATATATATATATATATATATATATATATATATATATATATATATATATATATATACTCTTGCATGGTAGTTAAAAAGAGTTTCCCATAAACTGTAGTTTTAAAGAGAGCCTTAATAAACCAGACCAGATAAAGTTTAAAAACTTAAATTTTTTTTTTTTTTTAAATGATAGACTGCCTGCCCAAACCAAACCCTCAGTCGATATAGCAGCACTCCCTTGCGAGTCAGGCTATTTGTCAGTCGATGTAGCAGCACTCCCTTGCAAGTCAGGCTATTTGTCAGTCGATGTAGCAGCACTCCCTTGCGAGTCAGGCTATTTGTCAGTCGATGTAGCAGCACTCCGTTGTGAGTCAGGCTATAAGATAGTCGATGTAGCAACATTTACGCATGTTTTAAAAATGTTTTTTAATAAAACAAAAACAAAAACACTACTAATTAAAAAAAACTTACTAGTCGTTATTATAACGGTTTTTTAAAAAAATTTTAAAAAACAAAATTTAATGTACTTCCGCATTATTTTAATTGCTTTGACATTTCGACGACAATCAAATACAGCTTAAGAGACGAGGTAATTAAAATTGTAGTCGAAAGAGACTTTTTTTACATTAAAACGCTCTTTTGACTACACTATAAGGATATATATATATATATATATATATATATATATATATATATATATATATATATATATATATATATATATATATATATATATATATATATGTATATATATATATATATATATATATATATATGTATATATATAAATACACACAGTGGGTGGCCAAATTATTAGGTACACTTAACTTTTTCAGTTATTTTAAAATTTAAATGAATTTTGCACGCAAATAAATTGTTTTGAATTAATTTTTTGTGTGCATTTTTGTTACTGATATCATTATTGATGTTTTTAATTCTTAACTCTAAGAGAATGTAAGGAAGAAAAAACTTTACTTCTTTATTCTACACATTCTCAAAGAGAAATAGCAGCTTTGCAAGTGTTTTAAAGTCAGTCGTGAATCAAATTAAAAGAAAATATTTATACAAATGTGCCTCTAGAACCAGACCGTATTGGCAAAAGTGGCAGAAAAAGGATCACTACTCCATGTTGTGACCATAAAATTAGAAACAATTGCCTTTAAAACAGGAAGAAAAAAAGAAGGTTCGACTAGCTACAATAATAAACAATAAAGGAATTATTGTCTCCAAAAGGGTGGTCTGGAAAAGGTTGGCTGAAGATAATTTAATAGGTTGTCACCTAACCAAAAAACCACGTTTAAATGAAGCCATGAAAAAAAGGGACTAATATGGGCTAGAAAATACTAAGTTATGACTATTGAAGACTGGAGTAGAGTAAATATAACTTATTAAAAACTATAGCTTTATAATTTAAAATATTTTTGTAAAGTTCAGTTCAATTGAGTATACATTTCAAATATTGATGGACAAAAGCTTATTTGTTTGATGCCACCCATCAAAAAAATTCAATCAGGACTGAGAAAAACTCCACCTTTTGGAAAAGATTAAATATCTTGCAGTGTTATGGTGTGGTCTGTGACCTCAGCCATGGGTATGGGCTGCCTCTACATTGTGGAAGGGACCATGAAGCAGAACCAGTACAAGCAAGTACTGGAAAACATGCTCTCGCCCCAGGTCCAAGAATGGTTCCCTTGTAATGAACATTATATGTTCATGCATGACTCTGCATGAACATATAATGTTCATTACAGCACTAATTGAACAATTACTAACTGTGCACGCTTTGCCTTGGCTGGGTAATTCAACTTACATGAACCCCATAGAAAATCTATGGGAGTACACAAAAAGGGAAATTGCCAATAAAATCATCCCTTAAAGCAGAAGTTGATAGAAACTTTAATAGGAGAGCGGCATAACAACCCCAGTCTCCAACACAGTACAAAAAACTGCATAGAAAGCATGCCCCAACATTTGTAAGCCGTTATTGTACCAAAGGGTCAGCATTACAAAATGTTAAGATTATTACCTTATTTGTTGTTTTACCTTTTTTTTTAATAAATAGCTATGAGTAAGTAATTATGTTGTTTTATATTCTAAATAGAGCCCTCTAACAATAAAAACAATAAAAAAATAACTACAAAATACGTATTTATTCATTAAAGTAGTTTAAACTTTGAAATTACTAAAAAAGTTAAGTATACCTAATAATTTGGCCACCCACTGTGTGTGTTTATATATATATATATATATATATATATATATATATATATATATATATATATATATATATATATATATATATATATATATATAACTACATTCTGAAATTCAAAAAATAATATAATAATATGAAAATATAATAATTATATGAATAAAATTATTACAATGTTTCATAAAAAATAAACAATTGCATGTATTAAGATCTAGACAAGATTATAAGTTCTGAATAAAAAAAGGAACACAAATTTAATATTAATTATTGATGTTTTAAATGATTTTAAAATTACCAGCTAAATAAGATTTATTTAAAATTAGTAAAATTAGATTTATTTAAAACCAGAGTTGTTAACAAGGCCAAAAGTAGCAATGATAAAGGCCACATGTTAAAAGGCCAAGGCCAAGACCAAGGCCAAAAGTTACAAGGACAAGACCAAGATCACATTTTACAAGGCTAAGGCCAAGAATCAAAGTTTCAAGGCCAAGGCCTACACAAACATTTTCAAGACCAAAGACATAAATTTTTGCCTTACGTTAAAAAAGTAATTACATAAAATAAAGAATGATTAATTACATAATTAATTAGGTTAAATAAAGAATGAAAACTTTTAATTCTTTAATTTTATGTATTTTTTTATGAAGACCAGGGCCAAAATAATCAAGGTCAAGGCCAAAAATTTCAAGACCAAGGCCAAAAGTTTTAAGGTTAAAGCCTTAATTTTTGGCCTTAAGGCAAGGCCAAGGCCAAGGACTAACAACTCTGTTTAAAACCATCTAGAGAAATAAGATTTAAAATTACCTAGTGAAATAAGATTTGGATCAAAACCGATAACTGATCCATCCAACAAGTTCTAAAATCACAATTTCCTAATGATAAAACAAGAAAAAAAAAAAGGCATTCTGAAGTTCAAAAATTAAATAATTAAATGAATACAAAAACAAAAAAATTAAAAATCAGTTAAAGTTCACTTAAAAAAGTCTAGCCATAAGTTATATTACTGCTCCTACTTTATTTGTATATACTATATGTAAAATTTGTTATTAGTCTTTAGTCTGTTAGTTGCTACCTTCTTCTTCAATATTTCTGCATTTCATTTAATCATTTTTAAATTAATCATTTTTTTAGAACCTTCCAACCAGTTCAATGACATTTTTAAATTAATAATAATAATAATAATAATAATAATAATAATAATAATAATAACAATAATAATAATAATAATAATAATAATAATAATAATAACATGATTGCTATAATTAGTGGGTAATTGTTGAAAGAAAAGTTGTCAAAAAATTGAAAGAAGGAATGCATTTACCTTATTTAACCATTCTTCTTGTTTTAAAACACCTTCAAAACCTAAGAATTTTATAAGCTTTGTAATGATAACTCCATATACATTGTATTTTATAAACACTTGTTTTATTAAAACTATTAATTTATATCTTTGACTAAATTTAAATATCTAATTAAATATTTAATAAAAATAAGTTTAAAGAAATAAAAAGATTTTTTCAATTTTAAAAATGTTACCATCTCTCATAAGAGTCCAATTTTCATCTAACTCTTTTTCTGCTTGCACATAATATCTTCCATCTGTCCACAATAATGCTTCATTTTGTGTAACCACACATGAACCTAATATATATATATATATATATATATGTATATATATATATGTATATATATATATATATATATATATATATATATATATATATATATATATATATATATATATATATATATATATATATATATATATATATATATATGTATATACACACATACACACATCATACATACATACATGTATGATGGTCAAATTGCTCTGGGAAATATACAGATAATAATGACTGGTAGAAAAAAATTTCCTATGGCATTTTCTATACCCCACAGAGTAACTAGCAACCCATGATAAGCAGACACACATTGTCTTACTTGTTTTGTACCATGTTGTGCTATAAAATTTGGCAATCGTAGTACTCTCATTATGTACAGTACAGTCATTATGTTGGTTTCATCAATATTATAAATTCTATCAGGAATGAAACTATGTTTTTTTTAAAATCTTTTCATAGTTGTCAAAAAAATGATTTAAATTGTGCTGATTAAAACTTGTTGAACAAGACAAACTTGTATTTTCAAGTTTATGAATTGAAAGTTCGTTGTAACGCTTTATGAAACCCTTTAACCGCTTTATATCAGCTTGTTTATTTTCTCCCTTTTCTTATCTTGGTAAAGTTATCATTGGCAAAGTTTAGAAACATGTTATGCTAGTTCTTTTGCTTTTTTTATATTTCAAGATCTTGTTTTATATTTTTAATTTATTTTAGTCATACTTTCCTTATTTATATTAAATGTTTGTAAAACAGTATACTTAGTTGTGTAACCTCACTTGGTTTTTGATAAATCTTGTTTACATTTTACTTGGTTTTTAATAAATCTTATTTTCATTTGATAATGTAAAGTACTACATTTTTATATAAGTATTAGCAGCTTGGTTCTGCCTCATAAAGTCATTTACAAGTTGGAGAGGAGCTCTCATTAATTTCGGTTTCTCTTTTTTCTTATAAATTTGAACCATTTTTCTCTTTAAATAATAAGAATATAATCTGTAAAGATAAAATATTATAGTGCAAGAAATAAAATAAAAACAAAGGTGCCAATTTGATGATGTTCAAAACTGCCCTGACAGCATCATTAATAATAAACAATTGTATTTCAAAACAAGGTAATCTTAATTTTTGACATTTTCTGCTGAATAGTAATAAAATAAGTAAATGTTATGATTCAATTTCCTAAATAACATAAAACTTGTTACTTGCTATAAACATAGTCTGGAAAATTTTTATACTTTATACCAAAATGTTTACACTTTGTCCTTAAAAACAAACCATATAGATTGTCGAATTTATGTCAAATTTCAGGAAAGAAAAGTGACAACTTTAAATATTATGTTCTCAAAATTTTTAATTTTAATAACTTTAAATTCAAGAATGCTTCAAAAATGCATTTTTTTAATGCTGCCCCAGTTAAAAGCTACTCCTTTCTCCCCTAAATTTAAGGCTTTTACCCTTCAACAAAACCTAATACAAAAACTAAAGCATAAAATATTGCTTAAAAATAAACTTCAACTTGGTTTTTTTCATCAAAGAATAATGTTAGATTTAAAATACTACTTAGCTCTTGTTTAGCTTTTTTTTCAATTAAATCTGACTCATCTGTAACTTTCTTTTTTGTTTATTTGACTCTTTTAAAAGCGTAAAATTTTATTCGTCTCTTTTAAAAGTCACTTTTCTGCATTATTGGCAAACTTATCAGACTTGTTAGATAGGAATTTTGAAGAAGTGTTTTTTGCTTGGACATCTTTTATTCATTGTTAACATTTAATGCCACAATGAAACTTCATTTTAATGCCACAATGTCAATTTTTTTCAATTTTTGCTTTTGTAAGTTTTCACAGTAGCAACTGATTGCAATTCTGCATTTCTGTGCTGATGCTGATGCAGGAGTTCCTCTAGAAGATGAAAAGTCTTTAATATTATGAAAAGCAACAAGTGATTTCTTCTTCAAGTTTTCAATCAAAAAATTCTCTTCAAGAATATCTGAATTAGTTAGCACTATTATTGAAATAAAAAAGGGTTTGGCTCAGTAAAGATGAAAGTAAGACATCTTGCATATTCTTTCTGTAGTAAACTGAAATCCCGCATAAATCTTTTGAAATATCTAATCTTAAAAAGTTTTGGAGAAAACCAGAATTAATTCCTACAACGCGTACATCAAGGTTTAACAAGGAGAAGGTTAATCAGTTTCAGTTTTTTTTCATTTATGATGTTTATAAATCATTTTTAATTGTTTAAAATGGTACTATTGCAATCTCACTAAGTTGAGTCTAATGCAGACAAAGGTGGTTTCTCAGTTTATCATACTCCTGGAAAACAATTACAGTGTTACGTTACACAAGTGGAGCTACTTTGATGATGGCAATAATATTTTTTACTCAAGTAACATAATAACAAATCGGCATTGAAACATGTACTGGAAAGTGTAAATTCAAATCTTTTAGATGTGCAACTGCGTATAAAACATTACATCAAACAGATTGCTGCAACTGCATATAAAACGCTACTTTAAACATTTATATGTATAAAAAGAGACTATGTTATGTTATTAAACAAACAATAATTTTAAAAAAATTTTATGCTACAGTGTTATGTTTATACTTTGTTGTTAATAAAGATTTAGTGCTGTTTGTAATAAAAAACTGTTTTCAATAAAATACATTGCATGCTCAAATTTAAAAATGAATTTAAAATAAAATGTTTATAAAAGACTGTGCAATATATATATATATATATATATATATATATATATATATATATATATATATATATATATATATATATATATATATATATATATATATATATTCATTTGTTTCTATAACTTTTTAAAATCTCTGTGTCCTCTACCGCCTACCAAATTAATTATAGGGAGTAGAGGAGATATCCATTTTAAGTTATTCAATAAAATCCAAATGTTGCATGTCCATCTTATTTTATGAGTTTAAACTTTTAAAATCATTTTCTTGTACAATGTTTTAGAATTAACCCGTTGATATATATATATATATATATATATATATATATATATATATATATATATATATATATATATATATATATATATATATATATATATATATATATACATTGGGGTTGGCTGAAACCTAAAATTAAATCTCCTTTAATTACTTAGCTTTCAATGCAACACTAACAAATTTAACACTAACAAGTTATTTAAAATTAAATTTCAACATGCAAAATTTAATTTTAAACAACTTTTATTTGATGACATTTTTTGTAACATCATTTTACAACATTTAGTAATAATTTTGTAATTTAAAAAGTTGTTTACAGAAATCTAAAAACAAATAGATTTTTTTTCCAGATTTAATTGATTGATTAACAGATTGACAGATTGAATTTGTTTTAATTTGTTTGCTTTTCAACTACATAATTAAATTAGCAGTTAGATTGAAAATTTATATAAATTTGTAAACTATGAAAGAAAAAAAAATTGAAACAGATGCAGCAGGATTTATAGAAAAGGCAAATCAATCTAATCAAGCGTCTATAAAATATGAAAACTAAATTACCTATATTTACAAAATATTATCTATGTTATTGGAAATTTCTATTTTCAGATGACTTTTACCAAATGGAATATTCAAAATACTGCAGGGAACAGAACTTCAAACAAGACTGAACTTAGTAAAGGTAGATGGAACCAATGTTCCATCTACCTTTACTAAGTTCAATCATTCACGTGGTTCCATTTAATATTTGGAAGTTTTTCTAGGAGTTCAAGTACGGTGAGATATTTGCATTTTGCATCTAAATGATTTACCTTAAGGCATTTTCTTATAAAAATTGATGCAACTACCAAGGTAAATTATATGGAACCATTGACTCACAGCTGAATGGCCATGTTTTCAAATGGGGTGCTGTTAAGTTAAATCCAAAATTTTTCATACTAGACAATAAAGTCATCTACGTCTTATCAACTGACCAATACTATGCTTATGCCATCTGTGAGGGTGTAATCAAAGGGAACATAGATGATGATTTAGAAGTTAGCCTTATAAACTATTCTCATTGGCTAACATTGCAGAATCTGGTAATGTGGTATTATGTATCTATTTGCGGAAGAAAATGCGGTTAATAAAATTTTGCATTTATAAAGGCCTCATAGAAGACTTTTATGGTGAAGAAGATGACTTTGTATGGGGAACAGTTGAGAGTGACAATGACAATGTGTGTGAAAGTTATTATCCCTCAATGAATAAAGAAGTATGAGTGTTTTTAAAGCCCTAAAATAATTTCATTATTGTTATTATAGATGACTTTTCATGCAACATCACATCTTTTTGTAAATAACATCTTTTTGTAAATAACATACTTGTAGGCAGAAAACATTATACATACAACAAAGAATAATTATAAAAAACATTATTCATACAAGAATGCATTCATAAGTTCATAATATAAATACATTTTATAAGTGTTTTTTTGCATTTCTTTTATATCCTTTAATAAAATATTGTCTTCTTTTTGAAAAATGATTAAAATAATTAATTACATAAAAAATGTAACTATTTACATAAATAATTAGTTACATTTTTTTTATATTGTAAAAATAAAATTTTTTATTATAAACTTTGATTGCTATTAAAAAATTTTATATATATATTTTATGTTCTACAGCAAATTTTATATTCAGATTGATCTTGTAAAACAACAACAAAAGCTTTTTCAAGTCTTATTGCTTTTAAAAATCTTTTGAAATTTAATAAATAACAACATCATAATTGAATATTTTTAAGTAGTAGTAATTGAGCATCCGAGTTGCAGTGGTTAGAGACACCTAATATCGCCAATTGTAACAAGAAGTAGTAACAAATCAACAAAAAATGGAAGGAAAGTTAGCAGCAAATGATAAAGACCTAGTTTTGGAAAAATTATAGCATTGTAAAAAAATTTGGTAATTTTAATAACTTAACACGTTGGAACAAAATGAGTTCAGTACAAAAAGTACTAAATGGTTATGAAAAGATTTTAAAAAATTGCAAAAAATATATTTTTAAAGTCTCATTAAAAGTCAATGAGAGCACTTTTGAAGCAAATTTATACTTTTGAGTAAAAGTAAAGGCCGATGTGAGATTTTTTGTTGCTTTGTATGTTAAAGTATTATCTAATAAATTGAGTGATCCTTACAATCATATAAATAGGAAATATTTCATATATTTTATACATCAAATTCTCTATTCATGAACATTAAGTAAAGGAAGGTTAGAAAGCTGTCTAGATTTTGCATGCAGAAAACTGTAGTCTTTTGTAAAAGCTATGATTTTTAATGTTGCTATTCGCAAGTCATCTAATGACCCTATTTTCCTAATAGCACATAATTCCACCAGTTTTAAGACTGATTGAAGAAGATAGAATACTTGAATTTCTTGCAAAACCACTTAAGTTAAGATATGTGTATCACAGCTAAAATAATTTTGCATCTTGGTAGTTAATTTGAACATATATTATATTGAAAGTATCAGTTATCATATTTTTTACTAATTGAACAATAAAAAATTTAGACTTTTATTGTTTTTTAGACTTTTATTGTTTGTTTTTTTAAATATAAAGTTTTTAGAAAAAAATATTATTTTAATAAACAATGTTCTAAATGTTATTCTGTACCATTTGGTATCTAATTAATGTTTGAAGCTTGTTTTATAAATTATTTATAACTATTTTTGCACTTTTGACCCATAAAAACTTAAAATACAAGTGTCGACTAAAACTGGTAACCACTGACTTTTTTCGTCATAAATATGTTTTATAGATCAAAATCCTGGCATATATATATATATATATATATATATATATATATATATATATATATTATATATATATATATATATATATATATATATATATATATATATATATATATATATATATATATATATATATATATATTGATTAGTTATGTATTATATAAAATAATACAAAACTCTTGTACAAAAAACAGTGCTCAATATTATAATAATAGAGCAATATATATTTTTTTATTTAAATTAAGAAAAACAACATTTTAATAGTACTTGAAGTTTTGTGCCTTTTGTCAATCATCAGCTATTAATTACAACCCAAAAGTGTAAATTGTTTGAAAAAAACAAAAAACAAGTCAAATAGTTTATGGTAGAACGAGTTCTGACATAATTAAAAAAAAGACATAACCATTTAGTCTCCGGTATCAAACGAAGATAACAGAAATTTATTTAAATGTCGACATTTATATATTAATTGGTCTTTTTTATTAAGCAGGTTGTTTCGATTAAAAGATAAAATTTCTAATTTCTCATGAAAACAAAGGTTGCATGTTTTTGTTTCTGGTTTTTAAGGTTTACAACATTTTATAACTTTCCACTTTATTATAGGTATTGTACCATTTTCTTCATTTAAAAGCTCGGTATCATTTTTATATTTGATCACATTAAAAGATTTTAAATGATTTGTGTATTTGAGCTTGAATGGTGTCTCACTGATACCAAAATATACTTTTCCTAAGGATCTGGATCTTCAGAATACACAGTGGCTTGGTAAACAATATTACTTAATAAACATTGGTTGCTTAATGGACAAGCACTTCAACGCACTGTTGAAATAAGATTATCTTCAATGTCATCAAATGAAGTTGTTTTTAACAATGCTACACCATCTGAAAAAAAGGCTTTTAAAAAAGCTGGTTATAACTGTAAGCTTACATAGCAACCTCAGATTACATCACTTAAAAATAAAAACTGCAAGCGAAATATTATATGGTATAACCCTCCGTTCAGTCAAAATGTAGAAACAAAAATAGAAAATTGTTTATTAGCATTAGTGGACCTACATTTCCCTGTGAATCACAAACTACGCAAGATATTCAATAGAAATTAATAGCTGATGATTGCTGAAAAGCATGAAACTTCAAGTACTATTAAAATGTTGTTTTTCTTCATTTAAATAATATATATATATATATATATATATATATATATATATATATATATATATATATATATATATATATATATATATATATATATATATATATATATATTGAAGTAAAAAACAAAAATTGTATTATTTTCAAAAGGCTAGTCCATATAGTACTAGTAAAAAAAGCTGTCTTTAAAGAGCTGGTTTAAACACATTTAAAATACACTGCTTTGTTTTATACTATAATCTAAATTTAACTTTTGTTTCTCATTACTGTAAACTTACAATTGTTGAAATAATACACATAAAAAAGAAAAATTAAAAAAAAAATGTACCTGAAGATCCAGTGAAACCAGAAATAAATTGTCTTCTTTTGTGACATGGAGCTATATACTCACTCTAAATATTTGCATTTACATAAATAAGATAAAAAATTTGTATTTATTTTTTTGTATTTACTATTATATGTAACTTCAATAATCTTTTTTTAAAGTTATGATTTTATTTTGGAACTAAATTAGGTTGATTTATATTATTGGAGTGTACATACATTAGCTATATCAGCTAATGTAGATACTCTCAAATATACCTCCCCAGGTAAACATGGCGTTGGGGAGCAGAACATGTATAAAAAAATTTTGTACAATTTTTTTTTAGTTTTTCTATTAAAAAAAATTACAAAAACTATAACAAGACACAGTACCTGATGATTATCACCAGAAGGAATAATGTATGCAGTGAGTGTTTCTGGAACAAACTGTTTATTGTGCATTAAAAGACGCAATTGCTTTAAAAATTGACCAGTGGGTTTAGACATTACTTTTGTACTTAAAAAAATAAAATGCTCATTAAACCAGCCAAAGTAACTCAAAGAATATAAAGTTTAAATTGTATATAACTAATAAAAACAAAAACAATAATTAATAATAACATTTTAGTATTGCAATCAAGATAAAAACAAAAAAACTTAGATAAATAAGTTTAAAAAAAAACCAAAACAAAACAAAAAATACTCAAAAAACATGTTTATCCTCAGTTAATTATTTTACATTTGTAAGTTAATTTATTTTAACAATGTCTGGAGGTTCTACAATAGATAAGCACCGATCAACAAACTCTGTAAAAATGGGAATTTGCATTGCATTCTCAAGATGTTTTTCTGGTGTTTTTGAAGCATCAATTTCCATAAGTATACTTTTTAAATGTTTGTTTGTAAGCATATTTTTTAAATGTTCTGAAGTCTCTAAATAATATGTAAGGAAAAAGTTATTTTTTCTAGAACTAAAAAATTATTTAATGTTAAGTATAAAAATATATTAACTACAACTGCAAAAACATTACAAAAAAAAAAAACAAAAAAAAAAGTAAAAATGATAATAAAAATAAACAAAACTACATAGTGTTATAAAAAAACTACATAGTGTTATAAAAAAAATAGCATGGATATAACAATCTTGCAAAACAATGTTGCATGATAATAATAACATTGCCAATTAATAAAAACTTGACAAGAACGAAATTGTTTAGTTGTAAAAATATAGCAAAATTGCAAAAACATTGAACTATAGAACATTGCTATAATATAGTAACTTATAAAAATGTTCCATAGTTCAATTGTGCATAGTAATAACAATGTTGAATTGTAATAAACACACATTTCTTGACAATAACTATTTTATAGTTGATAACAATGTTTAATAATTAATTTTAATAATTTATTTTATTTGCATAATTTTAACAATGCTTTATGATAATAAAAAAATTGTTTTTTTTTTATTTTTTCAAAATTATCAAACTTAATTTAAAATGAAAATTTTTTTGTTTATATTTTAATAAGTTTTTTTCATAAATAACAGGCATTTTACTCAAACACAAAAACATCAAACTGTTATTTAAAAAAAAAAACTTCATATCTACTCCCCTATTTTTAATGAACCAAATTTGAAAATTGAAGAAAAAAATTATGAATGTATATTATGAATAATCAAAACATTTCTGTTAATTCCCAATTATTTTTTTCAATTCTGCTAATTCCTAAGTTGTTTTTTTTCAGTTCTGCTAATTTCCAACTATTTTTTCTTGTCAAAGAAAAATAACCATGATTTAGCAGGACTGAAAAAAATAAATAAATAAATAAAACCAAAACAAAAAGTCTCAAATTATAACTTAGTAATATGAAAAATAAAACATATCCTACAACAAGTAATATTAACAAAAAAAGCATTTTAAACTAAAAGTTAAAATATGAAAAAACAAAATTTAATATTACTACAAGTTAATATGATTTCATTGTTCCAAAGACACAATTAAATAATTAACTTATTTTAAATAACTAAAAAAGACTGATATTATCACTAATTATTGGTAATTATCTAATTATTAATTTTTATAAGACAATTATTACTTTTTTATAAGACAAATCTTACTTTAAATTACATAACTGTTTACAAACCTAAATTTTGTAAAACTTCAGGTCGCAGTAAATCTTCAGACATCTCAGTTTCAATCTTTTTATCAACTAGTTGTACAGTCGAATTAAAAACTTCATTTATATTTTTCGATGAACAAGAATCTTAAAAAAATAAAACACTTACAAAATTAGACATTTAAAAAAGCTTACAAAACACAAATTTTTTGGTACAAAAATTTGGGTTTGAAATAAAAAATTAAATCTTTTATGCTACAATAAACAAGATATAAAAAATTGAAATCTGAGAATAATAAACCTTTATGTCCTTTGTAGCAAACTAGTGAACAGCTAGAAAAAAATTTTTTTTTATTAATAAATTTATATTTGAAACTATTAACACTAGTTGAGACCAATAAAAAGAAAATGATAATAAAATGAAAAGTAATAATTATTAAAATTAAAAAAAAAACTTATACAACAAGAATGATATAAAGATAACACAAGAAAAGCAATTTTGAAAAAATAAAAAAGTCTACTAATAACGCTTCAAGAGTGTGGTTCAACTTTATGACTTGTAGTGCATAAGATAGGGCTCCTAAGATTTTGCCATAATCCTATTACATATATAAAATGCAGCTATTACTAATCATGAGTGTTTGATTTTTCTGTCCGGTAAATCCATCTATTATTGTTAATGCCCATTACATTAAAAATTTGGTTATCAAACTAAAGGTTTTGAAAACCTACAATATGATTATTGAACTAAAGGTTTTGAAAATTTTATACAAGCAAAAATTTTAAATAAATAAGCAAAAACTTTATGTAATTTTAAACAAAAAGAAAATTTTATACATTTATAAAAAGAGATATTATTTAAAGCTTTAAGCAAAGATTAAAAACATTTTTGTACATTTGGTAACTTGAGTTCACAAACTCAAAAATAATTTAATAAACTTATAACTTGAGATTAAAATATACAATTTAAATAAGTTTTATTATTAAAAATGTTAAATAAAATGTTACAGAAACAAGGTAAGTTATAATAAATACATTTACACTCATTCTATTTTAATTGAACAGTTCAATTGAAAAGTTTATTAATTTTAGATGAGTATGTCAAAAAATTAAAGTCAGGAACAAAAACAGCTGTTTATCAATCCTTATATCACAAAGTTCTTGATTCATGAGTCGCTATCCTTCAGTATAGTTTATTTTTTTTTTAATTTTTGTTTTTGATGCCCCAAGTCAAAGAGCACCGCAGAAAAACATTAAACTAGACTCATATCTTCTTCTTTACTAATGGTGCAACATATGTCCAAAGCTTGCTTCAAACCCATGAATCTTTTGCTTTTTAAGCAAGCGCTTTAACCACTGCATCATAGCTGCTCAAATGCCTAGTTAAATATTTTAAACATTTAGTTCATAGTTTTGATCCTTGCTAACATAAAAAGTAGGATAACATTTTCTAAGTAAAAGTTACCCAGGATATATTGGAATGTAAAGGCAGCATTACATAAAAAGTTGACAAGTGAACTAAAAGATCAAGATGGTATAGGATTCACCACTGGACATCTGTAGCCGTAGATTCATTCATTACTTTAAATCTCCATTATACTGACGATGATTACACTTTAAGAAAGTTTGTTATTAGCTGTGAAAAGTTTTCAGGATGTCACTGCTCAACATATTGCTAATAAACAAAATGATTGAGTCATTTGATGAAAGTAAAACAAAAAGTGATGACTATTGATGCTGCTAGCAACATGATAAAAGCTATGATTTCAAACCATGCTTTCAACTCATGCCATTTTACTATTATCATTCAATTCATGTTACTATCATAAGATACTTGTTTAAAAGAGCATAAAAACAATGAAACATGATTTATTTAAAACTGATTTATTTAAAAGAGTTAATGAAATTCAAAAGGCTCTTGACATCTGCATAAAACAATTTTCTAAATCTCATCAATAATCCTTAACCTGTCAAGAAATTAAAAAAGAATTTGATAAACTTTATGGTTATATTTTTTAAATTACTTAGTACATAAATTTCTATTCATAATATTAAATTTATATTGAAATTGAAACATGCTCTAGTACCTATTAGACACTCAGTAATAACAAAAATTATAAAAGAGTGACAAAAATTAATATCAAATGCTAGTCACATTGTTATATTGAATCAAATTTTACTGATCTTGACAAAATTTAAAAAAATATGTGATAAGTTTTCAGCTTATAACATTCCTATGATTCAAAATGTTATAGCAGCATTTTATAACATTACTATGCACATTACAAGTAAAAAAATATATCACTTTATTACCAATCATAAAACCTTTTATTGAATTCTTGTTTGCTGAAATTGAAAATAAAGTGCCAAAATGTGATTCAGAGGATTTTAATACACCCATATTATTAAGGAGCTCCACCCATATTATTGAGGAGCTCCACCCATATTATTGAGGAGCTCCACCCATATTATTGAGAAGCTGGTTTAAAAAATTTCATTAACAAAAACATTTAAAATAAGACAATATTTAGCTATTCTTTCAGTGTTTTGAATCAACCAAAAAGAAAACTATTGCCATTTACAACTCCAACCTTGGAAAAGTTATTTCAGTAGCAAGTACAGAAGATTTTTAATTCATGGAGTCAATTGATTTTTGTGTTGCTGGTATGTAACAAGTCAAACACCTTGACTTGTAATATACCAGTCAATAACTTCCACAATATGACCTGTAAAGTCTTTAATAAAAAAACTAAACAAATAGTTGTAATCAAAATAAAAAATTTAGAAGAAATTTTTTGACATTAACAAAATTTTATTTTGACTATTGTTGATACGAATATATTTTTTGACAAATTACCACATCTTCAATTTGTCATTTGTCAAAAAATATATTCACTGCCAATATAAAGTATATTATAACTTTTTAAGAATATTTTACAAATTATAGTACACAAAATATTAGATGTCTACATCTTTATACATATATATATGTATATATATATATATATATATATATATATATATATATATATATATATATATATATATATATATATATATATATATATATATATATATATATATATATATGTATATATATATATATATATATATATGCCATGCCTCCAGAAAGAATTAGCGCACTCATAATTTTTTATGTTATAGTCAACTTCAAATCAAAATAAATCTAACTTTAATCTAAAACTAATTTTAATTTCGAACAAATTTTTTTTCAATAAAAGGTGAGACAGAATAAAATAATTATGATTTCAAATACTTGTCAACCTTTTGTTTCCATGAATTAATCAGAAGTTTAATGACTACTCTGAAAAAGTGAAAATAAGTGTGCAAATAATATTTTGTATTCTTTTTGAATGATTTTGTTAATTACACTGATTAATATTAGTCAATAAAAAATGGAAGTAATATAAATTGAAAGTATAAATTGAAGTGACAAAAATGTTATTTGAAATACAATTAGTTAAAATTTCAAAATGATAACAACAAAAACATAGGTTTAAAGAGCATATCAATTGGAAAAAAGTGGAAAGTTAATGGCATGCACAAAAGTGGTCTTAGCAATCAAGAAGCCAGACCTTAGCTTAAGATCAGGGGATTTCTTTTAAATAAATGAAAACATATCACACATTTTTTTAAATTTTGTCAAGATCAGTAAAATTTGATTCAATATAACAATGTGACATCTGATATTAATTTTTGTAACTCTTTTGTAATTTTTGTGATTACTGAGTGTCCTTTAGATACTAGAGCATGTTTTAATTTCAATATCGATTCATCATGCTGTCTCAGAATCCATCGTGTTTATCAGAAGCAATTACTTATTATTGTATTACTTTAGAATAAGGCTCAAAAACTATAATGAGTTTGGCACAGTCGAAGACAAAAGTTGCTTTCGTCGTCCTAAAAAAATGTCAAAAAGGAATAAAAATAAAACAATTATAGACGCAACCCAAACATGAGCATAGCTGAAATCGCCTCAGATCTGAATACAACAATAGATGCACACTAAATTACAACAATTAGCAAGCTAATGAAAAAAAAAATGCATACCTTGCAACAAAAAAGTTATTATTAAGCAACAAAAACCATGTCAAGAAGAGAAAATGGAGAAAGAGCTACATAGAGTGTAGAGCAATGGAAAAAAGTGAACGAGTTTTTACCAAGTTCTTGAACGAGTCAAACTCTGATCTTATCAATCGCAAAAAAAAAAGGATTTTAGTGAGGAGATACAAAAACGAAAAATACAATTAGATGATTAGGGGTTGCATCATTGGATCTAGCACTGGCCTGGCGCATCTATCTTTACACTGATTGCCTCAATCAACATCAGGACAGAGATATAAGAAGCTTATTTACAGCCTTCAATAGATATTTCAAAAACTGACTCCACTTGGCAATTACAACTAAAAAATGCTTCTTGCCATACTGCACGCTCAACCATGGAGGAAAAACGATTGAATCTGACACCTTGGCATCGCTTACCTGATTTAAATCCTACTGAGAATTTTTGGAGTTGGATGGACTGCAAATTGCAAAAAAACAAGTAATTTAATTTTGCTACAATATATTTAGTGGATATTATGGTTTATATTTGCATTTTAGATCGTTACGGGAAATTGTTTAGTAATTAGGTTAATATTATTATTTGTTTTTAGTTAGCTATTAGTTGTGAAATAGTTAAATATAAATATGGTTGTTTAAAAATATTCGCTTATGTGATATTTTTATATTAAAAATACAAAATTAAAAATAGATATAAAAATATAAATAATATTATGAAATATATTACAATAGATGTGTGTGAGTAATTTATTAGTTAGCCTAGAGATATATGAAGTAGAGTAATATAGTTATTGTTAGTTGTCAGTTAGGTTTGTAGCAAGCTTTGTAATTTCTTAATAAGAATTTATTTTCGTGACGACACTTTGATATAATTTCGGTCCTTTTATTAAGCAGTTCCTCAGGCTTTGGATACAATATAATAGCAAAATTCTCATATAGATATAGTGAGCACCTTTTGGAAATATTTGAGTAGGGGTTACAGACTTCAGAATAGACCATGAAAATATAGGGGATTTGTTAAAATTGTTTTTAAAATCCCAGACATAGTTTGATAGGGCAGTGGACTTTTTGTATTTACTGAATGATGATTTGTGATTGTTATATCTGGTTTTCCATTCACCTTGCGTTAATCCAATATAAACTTTGTTGGGTTGGTTTTTGGCTGCGATTTGCATGTTTGTGGATTTGCACTAACCATTAAGGGGCATTCTGTTCTATTTCGACATTTGCATTTTGGGTCATTATTTTTGACTCTTGGGAAGATAATTTTTTTGTTGTGGTTTTTTATAACTTTTTCGATACTTTCAGTGTAGCTTACCTTCACAGTATTTCTGTTTAAAATTTTGTGAAGTTAAATATATATATATATATATATATATATATATAACAAAAAAAAAAAAAAAAAAAAAAAAAAGCCGCTCTACATTTTCTGGTTCTACCAAACTTTGGGAATCTACAAAAAAAATTTTAGATCCCTAAGTGATCAGGAAGAGCTACATGAAAATTTAAAAATTTTACGTTCCAAGCCTTTTTTTTTTCTTCGCATTATTTTATTATTTTCACATCATTCAGCAAGTTTTCAAAACATGTGTCAAAAACTCAAGATGTTTTTAAAACATTTGTGGTCATTCACAACTATTTTTAAAAAACTTTAATTGCACCATAAACTTAGTTTATGCGTTTAATCACTTGGCAACTTTTGATTTATTAATTATCTTACTTTAAACTTCGATTTTTTTTTACTGTTTACATATCCGTACAAAATGTTGAAAATCAAAGAGAGGAAAACAAAAGAAATTAGCTATAACGCTCGTAGGTCTGTTTACCTGCTTAACTCGCCTTTAAGCTATCTACCTACAAACCAACTTCCATTGAATAAAAGTGTTCTTCGGTATTACTTGTTCCTAACTTCAGCTAGAGATAAGCGATTCAAACCTATTAAAACAAATTTTTAATGTTCTCGAGCACGAGAGGATGTTATATGTAAAGGGAAAGATGAGTTTTGTAATTCAAATACCGAAAAATACTGTTTACTCCGACAAATTGTAAATATTTGGAAGTCTGCTGGTCAGTAATTTCTGAGAGAAGTATAGTGGAAAAGTTTAAATCTCTATACAGTAAATACTAAACTTTGCGCAACAGTAAAACCTTTCGAATCAAAAAGCAAATTTCCGAACGCCACAAAAATGACTTTTACAATATGGTAGAGCAATTGTTTAACATCAATGCGAAGGACTTTGAGATGAAATTGAGACGCGATGAATCAATGCCTCATGATACTTCTGCTTTACAAGAGGATTTGGCCTTCTTAAATGATCAAAGGTTTTTTTTGCTCAAATTTTTTTGCGAAGATTTAATCTATTTTTTAATTATAATATATCTACTAATTTTTCCCTTATATAAAAAAAATTTTTTTTTGAGAAATTTTGTTTTTTTATTCAAATTTATCTTACGCTAAGTGTTTTAACTTTTTGCACAGACTAACAGAAATATGACATTATCTTCTAAAATTGACACAGAGCTTGAAGCAAGGTTTCAGAAAAAGATTGATAGATGCAAGAGGAAAGAAGAATATAAAGATCGAGTACAGAAGAGCAACGATTTGATAATTCATGACAACGAAGAAAAAATTGGGGAAAAAAGGCAACGGAATCACAACTTTTTTCCTAACAATATAAATTTCAATTTCGCAAGTGAGGAACCTACAGGTACGGAACCTACAGAACCTAAAAAAACAAGAGCTGAATCACAATTAGGTAATATTTAAGCATAATTTGTTAAACACATAAAAACATTTGTTTCAACTTATGATTAAATAAAAAGAGAGAATATAAACAATTTTTTCTAATAATGCACGGACATTTTAGGCAAAACTAGTAATTTTTTGAAGTAAATGTATAACTGAGCTAAAAATCTTTATATTAATTTAGATGCTGGAAGTGTAATTGCTAAGTCCGAAGATTTTGTCCCAAATAAAAATGTTAACTTTTACGAAGCAAGCTTAAAAAGTAGGCATCAGTTTAGACCAGCATATTTCAGAGTAGAGAAGGAGATAACCAGTGAAGGTCTCATTGCAGCAACAACTTCCACCAGTATAAGGGCCGGTCTCAGCATTCGAGATCAAACCCTTCTTAATGCAAGCGTAGTAAACTATTTAGGAGATGTTAAACAGCTAAAGTTAAGCAGAGAATCTGTCAGAAGACAACATTACAGATTTTTAGAAGAGGAAGGAGGCCAGATACGTAATGAATATATTAATTTAATGGCTAACAAGATGTTAGTTTTACATTTTGATGGTAAAATTTTAAAGCATATTGAGGAGGACACTAGACAGGCAACTACTGCAGATAGACTACCAGTATCTGTTACTAGCTCAGAGTTTGAAACCAAAGATGATCTTTTACTTGGTGTTGTGCCAACTGATAGTGGTAAGTGAATCGATATGGCTATAAGTATTATGAATCTCCTAGAATATTTTGAAATTTGTGACTATATTGTAGGATTCTGTTCTGACACCACAGTAAGTAACACTGGATGGAAATCTGGTGCAATAACTGTTATGGCAAGATTTCTTGGTAAACCATTTCTTTGGTTATTGTGTAGACACTATATTGCCGAAATAAATATTACTTGAGCTTTTAAGGCAATTTCAATGGGAATGTCTAAAGCCCCTGCGAATAAGTTACTAAAAGATTTTCAGAAAAAATGGGTAATAGAATTTTTTTCTAAAGTTTCAGCTAGTGGTGCTGTAGAAAAGTTCAAACGATTTCTTGAGCAAGATCTTATTGTTGGCAGTGATCTCTGCAAACTCTATTTGAAGTCTAAAAAGTTTGTAACTAAAGTACTAGAACATGAAATCTTCCCCAGGTATGTAAAAATAATATAAAATGAATTAGTTTTTCCATAAATTTACTTTTTTTTTTAAAGTTATTAAATAAAATTAGGAATATTTTAGGAATGATTACAGGCATCTTGTTGAATATTTGGTGTATTACATGAATGTTAAGTCTGAGAAATTAAATAATTTTCACATCTATCAGCCTTATGCCTAGGTTTATGGCCTATGCAATATACTTTCTAATGCTCGATATGACATCCACAGTCATTGTATATCTGACTACTGAAAAGAAACATATGGTCTCAAGGGTAGCATTTATTGTTGCTATTTATTATGGACCTGCCTTTCTTAAATCAGGCAAAGCAGAGCATGCTGTTCTAAATGATTTTAATGCATTCAAAATTGCTGAAACAATTAAAACAGAATGGGATTATGAAGTTGGAAACTCACTTCAAAAAAGCATGAGTAACCACACATGGTATTTGTCTCCTGAAGTTGTCGTACTATCGTTAGGTGATCCTCATATGAAAGCAGATGCTAAGCGTTTAATCATTGAGAAACTTTTAAAATTTCCAATTCCTGAGTTATCAGAGATTTCTGTTACAGCTCCTTCTGCTGTTATTGTTACCAGTGATAGTCGATTAGAGGATTTAATTACGAAGAAGAGTTGGCTTTTTTTTATACTTACAGGTCACACCGAATCTGTTAGATAGTGGCATACTTCAAGTGATTTCTTAGTGCTAGATTCATACAAAAATTTTGCTCAGTTAGTATGCAATCTTAGTGTGACCAATGACTGCGGAGAAAGACATATTAGTTTAATTGAAAACTTTGTTCACAGTTCCCACAATGAGGATCAGAGACAGAACATTCTTTTGGTAGTCAGAGAGCACAGAAAGCTTATAACAAAAGATATGTCGCTTAAGGAATTGGTAAAGCTAAAACCTAGAATTGAAAAATTATTGTAAAATAATAGCTAACTGTATGAAACTATAAACAGTGTTTTTTTTTTCTTGTAGGATCAAACAAAAGTTTAGATATAAACATATTCTGACCCATAAAAAATAACATAAAGTTCAGCCAATCCTCAATATTTGAAAAATTACATCTAGCACTTCCAACGAATAAAAATAAGCGATATTTTGTATTTAGACTAACTGAAACAAAATCAATAACCGCAACTGCGGTTATTGATTTTTGAAAATTTTTATTTGTCAACCCTACTTTGTGTCACCCTAATATATATATATATATATATATATATATATATATATATATATATATATATATATATATATATATATATATATATATATATATATATATTAGGGTGACACAAAGTAGGGTTGACAAATAAAAATTTTCAAAAATCAATAACCGCAGTTGCGGTTATTGATTTTGTTTCAGTTAGTCTAAATACAAAATATCGCTTATTTTTATTCGTTGGAAGTGCTAGATGTAATTTTTCAAATATTGAGGATTGGCTGAACTTTAAGTTATTTTTTATGGGTCAGAATATGTTTATATCTAAACTTATGTTTAGATATAAACATATTCTGACCCATAAAAATATTAAATATATATATATATATATATATATATATATATATATATATATATATATATATATATATATATATATATTATATATATATATATATATATATATATATATATATATATATATATATAATGTTTTCACTTTGAGAAAATAAATTGTTTATATATTTTTAACTAGAATATAACTTTAAAGTTTTTATTAATTTTTATTTTTTTGACAAAAAACAAACAATAGCTGTCAAAAGTATAATATACGTTCTACTTTTAGTCTTTAATTAAACTTAAATAAAAAAATCTGAATATTAACTTTATTGGTAAATCATTTTTATAACTTAATTGATAAATTTATGAATGTAAATTTAAAAAAGATGTACAAAGCTTTAAAAAATAGAAGTAAAAAAAAAAAAAAAAACTCACTAAACTAATACACATTTAGGACATCTGTAAATTGCATCTTTGAGATTGCATACACCGCATGTGCCAGATATTTTACAGGGCATAGTAAATACTGCATGAAGTTAATAAAACAAATACATTCTATACAAATTAGCAATTAATGTAATCAATATTTAATAAAAGAACTATTCTTTTTTTTTAATTCTTACAAAAATTCTTAAAATTTTCTACATAAAAATACATTCATGAACTTATAATCTAAATGAACAAATGAAATGAATGGAACAAATGAAATGAATGGATAAAGCTTGGTATTATTTGCTAAAAATTTGTGTTGTAATATGTATGCAAGTATTGGACAAAAACATTGTGTTGTAACGGGTGACAACTAAAAAATGAGACTGGATTTAAAGAAACATATCTCTTTAAAGGAATAAGATTTTTAAAATAGGAAAACTGTTTTAGAAAGTATTTTCATTCAATTTTTTTAAATATTTTATGTGTTTTTATTTTTTATAGAAAAATGAATAAAAAAATAAATTCAAAACAAGAAAAGATTAGAAAACGTGTGTATGTATTTTATTGAAATTACAAAAATGCTGGTAAAAAATTAACTTCTGACCACTTTAAAGTTGAGAATATACCTAAAAGTACTATCTACAAGATAATTAAACGTGCTGAAAGTGTATCTGGGTACCAAAGAGTTCAAGGAAGTGGAGTAAAAGCTAAAAAAATGACTAGAACAAACATCGAAAGGCTCAAACTCATGTTTGACCATAAAGACAGAGTTTCTCATCGACAGGCAGCTAAAAAGTTCAACTGTAATCAGTAAAACATTAACAAAAAAAACAAATATTAAATCAAGAAAAAAAATGACAACTCCAAAACGCTCTGACCAGCAAAAAGCAGTAGCTAGAACTAAATGCAGTTGATTGTGTCAGAAATTCAAAAATTGTAAACCAATCATTGAGGATGATTCTTATTTCACGTTAAATCACTCCAGTATCCATTGAAATGATATACTTTATACTAGTGATGTAAAATCTACTCCATCTACACTTAAATACCAAACAAAACAAAAGTTTTAAAAGAAATTACTTTTATGGATTGCTTTTTCAAAAAATGGAATTTCTTAACTTTATTTTTTACCGAGTGGACTGGCTGTAAATCAAAAAATCTATTTTAACAAATGTATTAAGAGACTTATTCCATTCATCAATAAGTATCATTCAGATGGTGCATATGTATTCTGGCCAGATTTAGCATCATCTCACTATGCAAAAACAGTAATCATGTACCTAAACAAGAAAAACATGCATTATGTTGAGAATGTGGATAACCCTGTAAACTTGCCAGAATGTCGCCCTATTGAAAATTTTTGTAGTATTTTGAAAGACCTTTTTACAAGAATAATTGGCATGCAGAAAATTTTTTAAAAATTACGTTCTAGAATCAAGTATTAATAAAATTGATATTGAGCTAGAACCAATTATTGCACAAAAACATTGTGTTGTAATATGTATGCAAGTATTGTACAAAATATTTGTTGTAACTTGTATGCAAGTATTGCACAAAAACATTGTGTTGTAATATGTATGCAAGTATTACACAAAATCATTGTGTTGTAATATGTATACAAGTATTGTACACAAAATTTGTGTTGTAATAAGCATAGCATTAATACATAGCATTAATAAAATTTAGTATGTTATGATAAAATATAATGTAACAATAATAAAATAAAATGTTATGAAATAATACAATATAATAAAATAAATGTAATAAAAAATAGCATGTAATAATAAAGTATAATATAATACGCATTGCTAAAATTATAAACTAAATTGTTACACAAGTAAAAACAAATAAGTAAAATTATTTTGTAACAAGAATGCAAGTAGATTAAATTATTGTATGATTAAATAACTCATTAGTTTTCAATAGTTTTTTTTCTTCTTAAAACATACATATTATATAATACATAATATTCAGAAAAAATAAAATTAAAAACTAAATACAGAAAATTTTATACAAAAAATATTTATAAATTGAAAAAAACTTCTTAATACAAATATTTGTTTATTTCTTTCTGTATAGCTTTAATAAATGCAAGATTTCTGTATAATCTGACTTCAAGTAAAAAAAAGACTAGGAATGCAATACAATTGCATCAACAAAAAGTTTTGCTTTAAAATTATAGAAATATCTTGCGCATTACCTTGCGCACTTAATAGTTTATATATTGAAAATAAAAATCTTTATAAATTTTCTAAAAAAACAACAAAACTAGTAAATAAATAAAAACAATTAATAAATACTCTATGTCATATCCCGTAATCGTTTTGTTAAGTTTTCAATAAATTTTTTCTTTTCTCTATCTGCTTTTTTGAAGTTTATCTTCTTTGATGTATCGCTCATTCTATGTAACACAATACAAAATGTATATAATTAAAATATATGATGCTTACAGAATATGATTTGTAAAAAGTATTAATAATTAATAATAATTATTAAAAGTTTGTAAAATTTGTATTCTGTTTATAAAAAATATAAGATTTATTAAGAAACTTTATTCAAAGGTTCTTACTTATTCTTACTTACAAAGAAAAGTAATCATTCATAAGAGGATAATTAATAAAAAAAGGTCTAATTAAAGCAGGAATTTAATCAAGGAAAATTTTCTATGCGCATTAACAGGGAGTGAAGTTTAATTTGTTCTTTGTATTAGTGTTTTATTATTTATCAAAGATTTAAACATTATCGTTTTAATCTGCTTAATTAAAAATTAAAAATAGTTGTAATAATTCAATGGCTAAACATTGATGTAATATACTATATGAAGAGTGCTAAATCCCACTATGAGGAGTATCCACTCAACTTGTTACTATCTTGTTTTTAAAGATTGTTAAAAAAGATAAATTAAATTGCTCTCCTCAATTAATGACAACTTGACAACTTGAGGATTTGAAGATATCAATGATTTTGAGGAAATCCTTGACATTTTGAGGAAATCCTTGACATTTTGAGGAAATCCTTGACAACTTGAGGATTTGAGGTCAATATAAAAAATAAAAACACAAACAGAGTGATGGTCAACTATTATAAAATTGAACAGGTCTAAAAGAAGATGTCATTATAAACTATGATAAAAAATGACAATTTGGTAATATGAAAAATAACATTTGATTTTTAAAATTACTTAATACTCAAATGGTCATCATATTATCAATTACTAGAACTAAAATTTTTAAAATCATAAAAGTGAATGAAATTTTTAAATAAGTAAAATCTTTAATGCAAATAAATAAAAAATATAAATTTTTCTAATTTAAATTGAATAACTACAATAACTTCTCAAAAAGTTATAACCATATTTTTTACAACATAACACCATTATTATCACTTAGAATTAGTCAACAAGAAATCAAGAAAATGAAGAATCTAACTGTAAATTATTGGCAATTTATTTTAAACCAAACAGAAATTCACAGAAACAAAGATACTTAAATATTATGCAAACTTTCGCATTGATAATAGCAAAAAACATTTAAATCAGCCTCTACTTTTTTGTATTTTTAATAGTTTTTTTTTTTTAGGTGCCCCAAGAAGACCTTACGGTCTTGTCACAGAGCACTGTGGAAAAACATTTAAATAGAAACCTCATGCATGCTTCCTTACCGATGGAGCTAAATATGTTTATTTACCAGAGGTCACCTCAAACCTCATTTTTAGGAATGCTACTTTTATTTTTTCATTTATTTATCATGACTATATTGTTAAGGAATAAAAAATAATAAACTTTTTATTAGGTATAAAAAGAAAAAAAACTAACTTCTCTAGCAAAATAAGAGCTGTGCTTGGTTGAACTCGATTGTATTTATTACTAGCACTGTTTCGATCATGTAAATAAGCTGACCAATCACCTTTCACAAATAAATCAACTATCTAAAACAGTAAAAAAATTGATACCAATTTATTTAACTGAAATAATTTTTTCAATAACTTTATTGAAATATTGTTATCTGTAAAAAAAAATTAGTTATTATATTTATATAATATTGTAATCATTATTTTATTTAAGTTAGTAAAAAAAAAAAATTGAATTAGGTTAAAAAACTTTTTAAAGTTACGAAAAAAAAAAAGGAAAACACTATAGAACTAATTAAAAATAAAATTATAAAATTAAAAATTAAAAAAAAATAACAACAAAAAAGAAATTTCTATAATTAAAAATTACTTTTAATAAGAAACTATTTTATAAGAGAAATTTAAAATTTATATTTCAGTAATAAACTAATAAATCTTTATATTTGAAAAAATAACTACTTGTCTCAATTCTTGGAAAGTCATTTCTAATGTACCAACACCAAAACCTTGTACAGGTGTGGAAGTAGCAAAAGCTAAAATTTATTTAAAAAAATAAATTATTAAAGCGTCAATCTCTAGTATAAACTAATAAATACTGGTAAATTGGTTCAAAATAATAATTAACTAATAATTATTACATCAAAGTTATGACTATTTGACTTGTCAAATAATTATAACGTTGAAGATCACAAATCTCTATGGTGTTTAAACAAAAAGAAATTACCTTATTATAATTGTTATAAATTATTAATTATCAAAGGTAATTATTATCAAGGTAAATAATTTAAAGTTTTTAAAAGTTTATTCTGTCATGGTAATTGGATAAGTAGAACCTAGTTGTTCTGTAAAATATTTAAAAAAGTTCTGTAAAATACTTTTCAATAACATTATGTTGATTTTTAAATGACCTGTTCTGCAAACAAATAAGAAAAAATATAAATTAGGATTTGAAAAGTTTCATTGGTTTTGTAATAATGGCTTTTACATTAATGTTAACTTTTTTCATTTTTTTCCTATTAAACTAAGTAAATAACCTAAGTAAATAAACTAAGTAAATGTTTCATTGCATGTCACAATTGACTTTAAGATTGGGGTTCATCTTGACCTAAGTTACAGACCCTAATATAAAATATTGAAACTTAGAGAGAAAATCCAAAACTACAGTATTTGTATTTTAGGCAAAATTTAAACAATGAGTTACTTTTTGTTTTGTTTCAATGGAATATGTGTTGTAATTATGCAACATTTTAGAAATGAATACCTTCACATTGCTTTAAATCAATTTCAAAACAAAGAAGTCCATTCATATTAAGAGCTTTTACTTTTTCATCCAAAAGGAACATTTTCAAATTTGATGCTAGATGTTTGCATGAAGACATGCAGGCAGTCTTGGCAATATCACCCTGTAATTTTTTATATACAAATCAATAAAATATAATATTAAGTTATATATAATGTATAAATTAACAATAAATATTATATATGAGTTGATTTAAAACATTGATAAAAAATAATTTTAAAAAATACCGGTAAAGGTTCAAATGTAATGAATGCTCCTTGTAAATAAGCTAACAAATCCATTAAATAACTACTTGGATGAGTTCTAACATTTGTTGGGCACCAGTTGTAGTTAGCTATGGTATAAAACAAACTGCATCCAGTTTAACAATAAAACAATATAACAATTAAAAACTAACGAGGTATTTTAAAAACTTTATTGCTATGCAACATACCCAAGCCTAAAAAATCATCCATTTTTTGGTTCAACTTCTCATAAATCCTCATTTCAGCATCTGCACGAATGTCCTTTAAATAACAAGTTTTTGTTAAAACTCTATTGTAAACTTTACAAAGAAATATTTTCACAAATAAAAATCTTCACAAAGAAATATTTTCGCAAATAAAAATCATCACAAAGAAATATTTTCTCAAATAAAAATCATCAATTAAAGTAGTTAAATTATCTTGAAAAAAGTTATTGTTGCAGTGTTATCAACTTTTTTCTTATTGATTTTAAAATAAATAAAAACAAAAAAAAACCTTAAAAGTAGAGGTACCATATAACCTTGTTAAGCTAACGTTTACATCTGTTGTCCTAAAATCAGTTTCAAAATCATTCTATTAAATTGTAAATAATTATAAAGTAAAAGTTAACATAAATGTCTACATGTGATTAGTGATTAAATCTTCCGTAAAATTCAGGGTTAAAATATTTTTTTCAGTTTGACTGAAATTTTTTTTTGACTAATGCTAACATTTTTACCTGCCAAACTATACCTTTTATATACTCTTTAAAAGAAGAAAATTTTTATTATGTATGTTTATTATGTTTTGTAATTAATGTTAAAAAATAAAATAAAAAATAAAAAATACCCTGTAACATCTGAAATAAACTCTTCAAGTTCAGGACAAGCATCTTCTAAATGCATGGTATTTACAGACATTTGTGCTAACTAAACAAAAAACTTAATTTGTAAAAATGTAAATTTATTAAACTTTAAAAACAATATAAATATAAAAAACAAATAATTTTATATAGTTTATATAAATATTATATGTATAATTAAAATACAGAAATAACTGAAGAATGAAACTTTATGAATCTATAAAAATTTCAAAACAATGCAGTGTTTGTTTTTTATAACAAAACAATTAATTTTTGTTCAAATTTAAATTTAATAAATTTTTAGTAAGTTTAAACTATAGATAAAATTGTGCAAAAAAATTAAATCTATAACCTGAGCTAGATTCAAAGCAGGGTGAGAAAGCAATTTTTTAACTGAGTCTAAAAAATAAACATAAAAATGAAAACAATAAAAAACAAAATAAAACAAATAACTTAATTTATAATAGTCATATAAATCATAAATAATAATAATAATAATAAATTTTTTTTTAAAGCTTTTTTATTTTTATCTTTTGGGTTCTAATCTAGGATAATTGTTTTAATTCAATCAAGTGTTGCATTTGAAGCGACTTTTGTTGCTTCAAATGTAACACACTTTGAAAAGTATTTAAGAAAAACAAAAAATCTTGTGACACTCCTGTAGATCATTCTATATATCTTAATAATTTATAATGGTATAAATTTGGCTGATATAATGGTATAAATATTGCTGAAATAATGGTATAAATTTGGCTGATATAATGGTATAAATATTGCTGATATAATGGTATAAATATTGCTGATATAATGGTATGAATTTTGATTGAAATGACAATGCTAAATTTATTTAAAAAATAGAAGTAGGAGATCTAAAGCTCTTTTACAAGGTAATTTTCATTAAACTTAATGCACTATTTCGATTTTTTGTTTAACTTAAGAAAAAATACTTAATCTTTTTTGTTTTTCTTCATAGTGAAACTTAGTGTTAGGTAGTTTATGGATGATCCCTAAGTCATTTGTGACATTTTTTCATTGATTGACTTCTGTCTTATCATTTGGTCCCTGGTTCTTTTATCTCATATTTTATATTATTAATGAAGTTACGTTTTTGAAGCTTTTTTTACATTTTTCAAGACCATTTATCTCTAATATTTTTGTTTGAACAAAAACATAAAACATAAAAATAAACACGATTTAAATACACACACCACTTAAAGTTTTTGTCAGCAAAAGATTTGTAGATTTTCTAATTGAACTATCTGTTTCTGTGCGACTGGAAAAAAAATAAATAAATAAGTTAATTTATCTTAACTTTTTATATACTTTTCTTCATATACTTAAAAAAAATCACCTTATGTTTAAGTTTTCATTAAATTTCATTGATGCTTCAATAAACCGTTTCATCTAAAAATTCAAAAAAAAAAAAAAAAAAAAATTTTTATAACATAAAAAATAATGATCCAATAATTAAATGTGTTCGCAAAAAAATATATAAAAATATAATAAGGATTACAAATAACTTATGTTGTAAATAGTTATTTATGATGTAAATACAATAAGGATTACAAGTAACTTATGTTGTAAATAGTTATTTATGATGTGAATAAGTTATTTATGAAAGAAAGAAAAAACATGTCAAGGTCAAAATGTTAATTTTTTAATCTTTAAATGAATTTAAAGAAAAAAAAAATTAATTTAATAGTTGTTTTTTTTTAAACATCTTTACTTCCGACAAGACTGCAAGCAACCACTAATAGAGTTGAAAGTTACTGAAAGAGAAAAGATTTTTATAAAGATAACAGATAACAATAAGCAGATAATTTAAAAGATTGCAAATTATCAGGAAATCAAGATTCAGGAAAACAAAATAAAAGAAGCAAGTTCCAAAGAACTGATGTTCAAGGAAAAAAACTAAACTAAAAAGATTTTTGAAGCACTTACAGTCACAGTAAAAGGATGAGACTTGATTGAATAACAAGTAACACAGGAATGAATTTTAGTAGATGGCAAAAGAGACACTAGCTCTTTAGAGCAGCGCCCATTTATTTTTAGAAAAGAGAAAAAGAAGCAGCATTACAACAATATGACAAAGGTTGAAGGTCAGCTGCAAATGGCGGTCAAACTATGTTTACACCATTTTTTGCACATTGTCTAAAAGAGAAAGGGCATCATTCGAAGATCCACTCTATATATGACAACAGTATTTCATACAAAGGCAAATTAGAAATTTATAGAATAAAGACCAGAATCCGGAGTAAAAAAGTGGTGAGCACAATAAAGACATGCAACCTTTGATATTCACGATTTGATATATGATTTTCAAGAAAGATCGAAAGTAAGAGTTAGTCCTACAAGACAAAGGGTAGATGACTCATCAAATACATTTCTGTTCATAAATATAAGAAGATCTAGATTATTGCAATATTGAGTAAACAGAAAATAAAAAGATAAAAAGCAAGAAAGTAGTCAACAGAAGACTTAAAAAAATAATATGTTAATCTTTTGTGACATTAAAAAACAAACAATAAGAATTATGCTATTATAAAAAAGTTTGCAAAACATACCTCACTGTACACTTTTGGAACAAACCATGAAAACGGAAATTTTTTGGGGAATTCATCCTAAATTGAAATGAAAAATAGGTTGTGGTAAAATATATTGTATAAACACTAATGATTTATGCAATTTAGTGAATATATTAATAGAATATATATATATATATATATATATATATATATATATATATATATATATATATATATATAATAGAATATATATACATATATATATATAATAAATATATATAATATAATGTATATATGTATATATATACATATATATATATATATATATATATATAATCGAATATATATATATATATATATATATATATATGTATATATATATATATATATATATATGTATATATATATATATATATATATATATATATATATATATGTATATATATATATAATATATATATATATATATATGTATATATATTCTATTATAGAATATATATATATATATATATATATATATATATATATATATATATATATATATATATATATTCTATTAATATACATGCTATAATGCATATAGATATGCACTCGCCAACTTTATTTGCTGACCTAAATCTAGCTTTTTCACAAAAAGAAGAAAGCAAGGGAGAATAATGTAAAAACTTATCATTGCCCCAACCCAAACCTACATTCAATGTAGCAGCAACTCCTTTGCATGCTCTTTCCTTATCAGACATTGCATGCACTGAAGGTCCAAGCAGCTCCCTATTCCAGTATGATGTCAGATTATGAATGCGCTATTAATGCCAACCTCTAACAGATTAAGGTCAGCAAAGTATTGCCGATATATATTATTGATATATATATATATATATATATATATATATATATATATATATATATATATATATATATATATACTAGGGTGGTGTGAAAAAATTTTTTGTTGAATATCTTGGTTGGATAGCTATAAAAATTTGCTGACATATGCAATTAGTAATGTGGCAAACAATCAAACGATTTAAAGCATATCTTGAGGTTCCACAATTGACCTGAATTATAGGCATATTTCAAATAAAAAACAATATTTTTTGAAATTTCAAGTTTATATATGACAACATATTTGTGTAGCAGTGTACATTTTTAACAGTCTATACGAAAGTTACAAGTAAATAGAACTAAATATTTGTAAAGAAAAACACATGAAAACTCTAGTCAAACATGTTT